TACGTGACTATAGGAGTTGTTTTGCCTTCAGTATGAAGGAGTTGGGTACTTTGATTGGACCCGGCATACGGATAGAGTTGGCTAGTGATACGCCAATCTTCCGTCGTCCCTATCGATATAGTGATATGGAAAGGGACTTGATTAAGAGTCGGACGTTAGAGTTATTGGAGGCTGGGTTAGTGGAGTTGTCGCATGGTGAGTATGCTTCAGCCACTGTTATGCCAGCGAAGAAGGATGTACATGGCAACTACACTGATAGGCGGATGTGTGGAGATTATCGTCATATCAATCGGCAGACGAAGGCCGATAAGTATGCCATGCCTACACTTGAGGAGATCTTCGATGTGATGGGACATGCAAAGATTTTTAGTACTTTGGATCTTCGGGCGGGATACCACCAGTTGCCGATTCGAGAGGAGGACAAGGCCAAGACAGCGTTTTGGGGTGTCAACTCTCACGGCAAGGATTGTTTGTATCAGTGGCGATTCTTACCCTTTGGGTTGAAGAATGCACCTGCCGAGTTCCAGAGAGTGATGGACAGGATTCTAGCGGGGCTAGATTTCGTCAGATGTTACATTGATGATATCTTGGTGTTTAGCGACACGGTGGAGCAACACCAGATACATTTGCAGATTGTGCTTGAGCGGTTGAGGGCTCATGGTCTGCGGTTACATCCTGGGAAGTGTAGGTTCTTCCAGGAGAAGGTGGAGTACTTGGGTCATGTGATCTACCCAGGTGGTTTGGGAGTTCAGCAGGCAAAGGTGGAGGCTATTGCACGCATTCCTCGTCCAGCGGATGTGAGTAGAGTTCGTGCATTCATGGGTTTGGCGAATTATTACCGGAGATATGTGAAGGGATTCAGTGCTATAGCGAAGCCTTTGAACCAGTTGCTGAAGTCGGATCAGGAGTGGCAATGGGGAGATGAGCAGGAGAGAGCTTTTGTTGAGCTCAAGGCCAGGTTGGTGGCCGCTCCCATCTTGAGGAGACCTATCAAAGGTCGACCATATCAATTGCACACTGATTGGAGTATGTTGGGACTTGGAGCGGTGTTGACGCAGTGTGATGATGAGGGCAAGGAGTTTGTGATTGCGTACGCTAGTCGTTCGAACAATGCAGCAGAGTCGCGGTATAGTTCGTACGAGGGAGAGTGTTTGGCAGCGGTGTGGGCTGTGGCACACTTTAGGTGTTACTTGTTTGGTACGCAGTATACCCTTGTTACCGATCATCAACCGCTCAAGTGGTTGATGGAGTCTGACAAGCTCACAGGGAAGCTTGCACGGTGAGCTCTCATCTTACAGGAGTACGACTTTTAGGTGGTGCATAGGCCTGGAGTTGCGAACCTGGATGCCGACGGTTTGAGTCAGAACCCATGCACTAGCCAAGAGGATGACACTGGAGCTAGGTGGCATGGTGAGGTTGATGAGGAGATGGTGCCCGGTTGGCATGCATCGGCCTTCATGTGTTGGTTTTGTGGAGCCTCTAGCAGTGAGGACCACTTGACATCTTACTCTAGTCAGAGAGTAGATAGTCAGTCTTCGGATCCTGAGATTGAGGATGGTGGTGTGGACCAGCGGGATGTTCACGATGATGCGTTGGTGTTGGAGTTCCTACGGACCAGTATGGTGCTAGGCACAGTGGGTGTCAAGGAGCGAGATAGTGTTCTCCAGAGGGCGAAGAGATACCGATTGGAGGGAGCACATGTTCTCCGAGTGTGGGAGGACGGTAGGGTACGGGTAGTACCGCATCCAACTTAGAGAGCACGCATTGTGAGGCATGCTCATGAGGAGTTGGGACATTTTGGAGTGAAGCGTACGTACAGCTTACTCCTAGGTCAGTATTGGTGGCGTGGTATGCATACGCAGGTGCAGCAGTTGGTATCACGTTGCATGGTTTGTGATCGAGTGAGGGCATCGTTCAATGCCCCGACACCAGAGTTACATCCCTTACCTATCATGGGATTGGGTTACCGTTGGAGTTTGGACTTTGCTGGACCATTACCTTTGACTACACAACATCATCGGTATGTGTTGGTGATGGTGGAGCATTTCTCCAAGTGGATTGAGTTGGTGGCATTACCTGACAAGGCGAGTGAGGGAGTAGCATATGCTTTCCTTGACAGGGTGCTTAGTCACTTTGGTGCACCAGCTGAGGTGTTGACCGATCAGGGGACAGAGTTTCATGGTGAATTTCAGGTCTTGTGTGACAAGACGCTGATTGATCACTGGACTACTTCCCGAGATCATCCAGAGGCGGATGGTTTGGCTGAGCGGATGGTACAGACGGTGAAGAGAGCGTTGCGCAAGTATGGCCTACAGAAGGGGCATCTTGAGGACTGGGATATTCAGTTACCATGGTTGGCCATGGGATATCGATTCAGTCGTCAAGCATCCTTGGCTTTGTTTTCACCATATTTTCTATTGTACGGCCGAGATCCAAACTTGCCTGCAGCGATTCGTCGTGAGTCTAGCGAGGTGGTGAACCTTGATGATCCAGATATGTGGGTGAGAGTGTGTTCTCAACGTGCAGTGCTCTTTCAAAGAGTTATGCCTGCAGCGTTTGAGAACCTTGCGATTGCTCAGCACCGGGATACGTTGCGGTATGCAACTATTCGAGAAGGAGGTTATCGACCATCGATTCGTAGGTTCCGCGTGGGAGACTACGTCTATCTACAGCAGACTGCACCGACTACGTTGGATGTGACGGCAGGACGCACTATCCTGCGAGTGCGAGAGGTGTTACCTTCTGGAGTTCTCATGTTGGAGGGTCGTGACGGTGTCGTTTGGAAGGATCATGTGCGCAACTGTGCGCCATGCCACCTCCCAAACGTGGATGGTACTATGGACCCAAGCTTGGCGATTGTACGTGCCGGCTTGAGGTGCATGTTATGTGGGTCAACTGATCAGGCGGCCCATATGTTGGTGTGTGATATGTGTTCTAGGGGATGGCACATGTCGTGCTTGACTCCACCTATCGATGTTGTTCCTACTGGACGGTGGGTTTGTCCTCGATGTACTTCAGAGGGTAGATGACTTGATCTTCACATGTTATGAAAGGCGATTAACGATGGGGCGACATAGCACCCGGCCTACTGGTTCGCGCATCCACGAAGGTGCATAGCATGTAGTTGTAGATAGGGCTACCAGGGAGTTAGAGGGACCTGACCGCCAGTTAGGGGGGCGAGTTGTGATACCTTTGTGTGTGGACACTCTCGTTACTTGTGTATGTATGTGTGAGTTGTGAGTAGAGCATGTCAGCGATGTATGAAGTATGGCGATACCGAGTCGCACGACAGAGGCTAGTACCTTGTTAACTTCTTGATTAGACTACCTGATAAATTATTCCCATCTTCTTGCCATACTACTCGATGTCCGCATTTTATTTCATATAGGCAATGCTGAGAGTTTCGCGAACATGGTTTCTGCCTAATATACAGTATGGTATGAAAGCAGTACGTTGCTCCATGTGTTCGTTGGATTCAACTTCCGTGAATCTCACGGCGAATGGATGGCGGATGGTATGAGGCCTGGCCTGGCTCCCTGGCACCACTCCCAGTCAGCATCCGAAACTAGGCTTTCCCTCCCACATGACGATGTACAACTACCCATGACCTGCTGCACGACATGACACGTTGGCGTTGGCGTGTTTGACGTGGCATCCAATCTTCCTCGTGTATGGTGCCCGCACTGGCCAAGTTCGGCCCGTCGACTTCCGCGCCCCCTTACTAAATGCGCAAGCCCGTAGTTCCCGCCGCCAGCACTACGGCCACAAAAGAACGGCGGCCGACCGAGCGCGGTCGCACCATGTGCCACAGTCACCGCTGCCGTGCCACTTGGCATAAGATGGTGACGGGGACGCTGGAAACAGCAGACGCACTTGCAGAGTTCGACCCCGTCCGTCATCACGCACAGCTTCAGCGTCGGGGACATTCCAGAGCTCGTGGACGATCAATCCGAATTCGAGACCTCCAACATTGCTTCGGCTTTCTCGGCTCCAAAATCGGGCGGATGGAAAAACTGCAAACCTTGTCCTTCAGTAGATTCACGTTTGGAGCGCTGTGGATCCTGACATTACTTTCCAGAGGAGGCACTCAGAATTCGGACAAGAATCACTTTTTCATAATCTGCGCATCTGCCCGGTGCCCATTGGACACTTGCGCAGACGCAATCGGACGTGGTTTGAGGCCACCGAAAGAAGAAGCCTTTGAGAGTCTGTGGACAGTCCGATTGTGTAGACCGAAGTGTTCGCTGTCTGTTTAAGCTCCGGCAAGGGGACAATTTTCGAATACAGGAATTCATTTGAAGTGTGGACCGTGACTACGTCGGGGCTGCAGGAAGCCTAGCGAGCAGCGTACCGAGGACTTTCATTTCGCGTGAGCTGAAGGCTGATGGCTCGCGCTCTCAGTGGTTGTTGATTGAGAAGGGCTGTGGCTCCACCATTCACAATTGATTGAAATGTGGCCCGGCGATAGCCATCTTCGCATACAGCTTCCAGACGCCAGGCTGCCGTGTCTGCGGTGCGAGCTCGAGAGAAGGTGTTGATCTATTCAACTGATGAGATGCTTGCCTGCAGACTGGCGAAGACACAATTCGGTGGTGGAAGAGAAACCTTCGAAGCGAGAAGGACCCTGAAAACGTATCGAGAGTACTGTTTCAGACCAAGAAGCGAGCATGTACACGCATCAGTGGCACCCATCTCCCCAACCGACAAACCCCACACAGAAGGATGCAGTCGTTGGCTGCACAGCAGATTTCCCCCCACACTGCAGTCAATTGCTCGAAACGACCGCGTGATAACATTGGCCTTAAGTTCCACGTCGAGGACATCATCCGTTTCGTTGAACTTCAGATGCAGAACTTTTTGTAGAGCTAGGGTACTTTGATGGTCATTTAGTACGTCATGAGAATAAAATCAAATAATAAATAGAAAACTTTTGGTTTCTCAACACGTGACGTAAATTCGTCCCGTAGGCCTGCATGAATTGGACATAGTGAGAGGGAGAGAGAGCATATGGCCAGGTTCCTCAGGATGTTACGGAGATGAAAAGTATCTCACATCGCATTGCGTCGTAACAGTAAAATGCTTCCGAATATTTCTCCGTACTTCATATTCAATATTTGATATCCCTGTGGACAGGATGAAACTATCAAGCGTGGCTCGCAAGAGATGCAGCTCAAGTAGACGCAGCACACTTGACTGTCACGATCAGCGAGCCTTCGTACTCACAGTACTTTCCACACCTAAGTACTCAGACTGTCCTGAATAATCACCTTTCACCACTACCAACTCTGGACGATGTCATAGTAAGAATCTTCATACTCTGCGAAAGGCCTTGACTTACGAGTGCCGCTTTTTACTTCACCAAGTCTATTGTTCTACCCTTGAGCTCGTCTACTTTTGATTACAATAGACAGCATCCACATCGTCCAAATCCAACAGCTTTTCCATGATTTGTTTGTTCATCTCCAACGCTTCATCATCAGGCTGGGAACAGAACAAATACATGAGGACAAGCATGTCAGATTACGAGACAGCTTATATACTGTACAGTAGAAGATACAGGGTGGTCGTGTGCAATGTCAGCTCCATGACGAATGAAGATCACTTGTTTTGCATCACTCGATACACTAGTTATACGAGAACTTCGAACATGTGCTTTGAAAACGCAAGCTTAAAATAGAACCGTTTGTAGCTGGCAACATGTAGCACACAGCAATTCATATTCTGGACAATATTGAAGAAACAAAAGACTGATTTGGTGTACAGCACGTGTGAGCACACAAACAAGCTAGAGGAAAAGATTCTTACAACTGACATTCAGGCATACGTGGTACTATTTAACTCTCATTACAAGGGTCTCGAATGCAGTTCACTATGAAACTGATACTCGGAGAAAAAAACATGACTCAGAAATGGAGTAGGGAAGGGACATATGAACTTACCTCCACCGACACCACGGGAAAAAGTTCTAACCCAGAGTTGTCTGTGTCAATCTTGATGCCGGCCTCTTTCAGTTGTTGGCTTACGGTGAAAAATTGCTCTACTGGGGTCAGAACTTTGTAGTACCTGAACAGGATGCATAAAAACTGCGTGTCAATGAGAATCGACACACCGCTTCTTCGAGAGCTTTCGTTCACGACTACTATTTTGAGAAAGCTGAATTTGCAACCTATGTACACTGGGGACCACTGCGCATGTCCCCGCTTCCGCTGATGCTATTAGGCCCCTTTACATCAGGAGTGCGACAATGAACTACCTTATACCCCTGATGTCCGTTTCCATGCTTGCACACATGATCTGTGTGTTCAAACTTAAGCGACAGGCACCTTCCTCACCTTGTTTCTTCGTCATCTTCGTCCTCATCAACCTCAGGTTCTAAAACATCCTCCGCTCCGGCATCCATGGCTGCCAGAAGAAGATCATCGCTTGATATGTCTCCTGTTTTCACGTATACCACTCCAGTACGTTTGAAATTGAATAGGACGGATCCAGGATCTGCCATTTTGCCTCCACCCTTCTTCACCACATCCCGAATGTTGGCTGCCGCGCGGTTGTTGTTATCCGTCAAAACTTCTAGTACGAGGCCCACACCTCCAAGACCATACACCTGTGGTCCAAGCAAGGTTACCATGGCTATCTGAGAGAACATCTCATCCAAGTCTCCAAGCAAAGCCTTAGGCCAATCTCTGAAGAGAACAGTAAGCGGAGGAAGTCTAAGCTCTTGACTAATTTAGTTACGGTCTGATGTGTGGAAGCTAATGATGACATCCCAAGGATTCTCGGCCAAATTAAGCAAGATCAGTATGGACCATGAACGCAAGGGGGTTAGGACTTGGGGAAAATTGGTTCACCTCGTAGGTCATGTCCACAAAGTCGGCCTGGCTTTTGTCACTAGCTTTTTTAATATTGCGGTCAATAATCTCCTTCGGCACATCATACTGCTTGGCTGTTTGCAACAAAACGGCAAGTGCCGCATTCCCCGTTGGATTTGGGCCGCCTTCTTTCACCCTGTTCATGCGGGACATAATTCACATGCGAATGGTGTGAGACAATGCTGCTCAGCGGGCATAAACCACATGCGATGTTCTTCACCAGCCACATTATACAGCGGTTCCACGCAGACTAAGTATTGCAGAAGATGGTAACTAACCCAAGTCAGGCCGGTATGTAGGGACTGCTGGCCTCAACACAAAGAACGGAAAGAACTCACACTGCTGCAATTTGCTTTCCTATTTTGCCATAAAGCTTTGCTTTCTTTCGATTTTGTGCTCCCTGCGCAGAATGTCCGATGTAGCAAGTTAGCAAAATGATTCCGAACTTTGTTCCATTTGATCAGAATATATAAATTAGGATAATGAGGGCAGCACAAACGGCCAGTTTAGAATCGGATTGAGAAAGGAACCAAATTGTGGTAGAGTGTATAAAGTACCAAACTCACCAAATATTACCTTTCTGGTAGCAATCTTGGCCGAACGTCTCCCCATTTGTAGTGGGGGGGTCGTCCACAACTTGCGAGATCCAGAATGTTGCCATAGTCCACGACTAGCATGTCCAGGCTCTATGGCAGCCCCGAACTGGTTGAATTCTCCGGCTGACCAACTTCTTGAGATGCTGTGCGTGTCTTCAGAGCTAGAGCCGGCAACAATCCTCGATTCACATGGTTTGAACGCTGATAATTTGCTATCTGATATGCATTACGAACCAATTACTATCAGCACCACAAGCGTGATTGAGTTCTTCGGTTAGACAAGAGTTCATGACAGACTGCTAATAATCTGGGAGGCAACAAACTTCAGCTTCATGGTGGCAAAAGTGAGTTCGGCAACAGCGGCGTTCTTCATGTTGCTACTCCATTTTCAACATTCTCGGCACTGCTCTGTGCCACATTTTGATTCATAATTCGACAACAGAGAGCAGGTGCGACAGATATTTCTTCTGCTGATCGTTTCTGTGCTGCCGAGACATGTGCCACGAGGCCACCAAACAGTCCACAGGATACCGCACCATTCGACTGGACATACTCTGTTGGAACTAAAATCCGAGCAGAATCTCACCAAAATTCGAAGCATGGTCGACGGATCCGAAATATCAGAACGGTGGCCGTCGGAGCTCAGATTCATCATGATTCAGCGAACAAAGCTTTACAGGCGAAAAAGAGTCGGAGACAGAGACGAAGACGAACTCTAGCCTGAGTTCGATCAAGACGTGGTTGCCTCGGTGCAAAAAACACGCACTGCGGCGGACCCTCAAAAAGGAACGCAAATTCTCTGCTCGCATTCAAGAGGAGCAAAGTTCGAGCGACGAATTCCTCAAACACTCACCTAAACCGAGCACGGAACTCACAGAGCGGCCGAATCCCAGGCTCCTCAGAATCTGCAAGCGTAACCCACTGGAAGGCCGAGAATTCACCCAATACAGGTCGCCATGCCGAACGCAGCAAGGAAATTTCGACGAGCTCGAAGGGCAGAAGATGGCTCTGAGTGCCGTGGATGGCCTCATCTCAGCGCCTGCCACCCGAGGTCGCAACGATGCCTGGACCCTCCCTCCCCACGCTCCGACTCTACTTCCCCCTCCCCTCCCCTCCCCTCTGCTCTGGCCTGCCCACAGAACAAACAGGATAACGCAGAAAGGGGAACGGAAGGGCAAAGCAGAGCAGTAGAGGAGGCTCGTGGCTCGTGGCTCGTGGTTCGTGGTTCGGTTCCAAGCCTACAGACTGCCTACGGCCTTCACCGCCGAAGCTAGGGGTTGTGTGGATTCCACCGGACGGACTTCCCACCGGGTGACGTAATCTTGACGCCAAGTGCCGCGCGATGGTGTTCTTGCAGGTCTCGAAGCTCTCGACTGCAAAAGCTTCGAGACGACATCGAGAGAGAGAGAGAGAGAGTAGTCGTGATTACAGCGAAGAGTTCAGAGGAGGGAGTGTGCGCAGAGCCCTACTACTACTACTACTCGAGCTTGTAGGACAGGAGTTCGGTTGGAGCTAGGCGGTGGAGAGAATCACGATGCCGAAGAGGACCACGCACACTTACTCCAGCGAGGATGCGGCCCCCGATGGCCCCGAGTCGGAGCTCTTTGTTTACTACTGCAAACATTGTGGTGCACATGTACTCATTACCGGTGACTCTCTCCCTCCCGTCTTCTGTCTGTGCTCTCGTCTGTTCGCGTGCTGAAACCGTAGGCTGAGCACGGGTTTTGTTTTCTGCTTTTTTCCCGTCGATTTCTGTCTTTTTTCTTCCAGTAATTTAGAAATTTCCCGACTTTTACTTACTGCTCTAAGAATCGTGCGAATCGCGACATAAATTAGGAATTTAGAGATTAGTGAGATGTGCGAAGGCGATCCAGCTGAATCCAGGTGATGTGCATATCATGTCATTCGAATAAGACTCGCCGGTCTGAAGGACCTCCAGGGACCAGCTCCTGTGTTTCGCTTCTTTTGTCTGTTCCTTGACTTGGAAATGATGGCCAATTGACTGACTTCTCTTCTACAGATACACAGCTGCAGAAAATGCCTAAGAGGAAAACGGACAAAGCCTATGTGTTAGATAAGAAAAAACATTTGGCAAGACTCAACGTTACCGAAGCAGGCAAACAGCTGCTGAAAAGGTCCTCATTCATCAATTCTGGCAAAATTGCAACGAATGAATGAAGATTCTGTTGTTTTTGGAACAGATTAGTGTGAAAAAGGTCGTCTAGTTGAACGCATTCTTTATGACTACTGAACTTAGTTAAAAATTCTAGCTCAATGGTTTTGAAAGTCCGCTTGCAGGGGTGAGGGGAAGGTGGAGAAACAATTTCGTATGAAATGCGCCGGATGCGGTTTGTTTGTCTGTTATCGTTCCGAGGAAGATTTAGATTTATCGACTTACCTTTATGTGGCTGATGGGGCTCTGAGTTCAGTTGCCGCTGAAACCAACCCACAGGTAAGGATGCACAATAAGCTACTCTTCGAGTATCCCAAACACCTTTCAGCTTTTTTCTTTGGATTTTGTGTTTTGCGCTGTGTTTGCACAAGAAATGAACTTTTGCCATCTTCTCATTGACAATCTAGTGTAGTACTAGAAACATGCATGACTCGGCCCACTGATATTTGGCTTTCCAATTTGATCTGCATTTGTCCGTGTTGGGTTTTGTTGTTGTTGTTGTTGTTTATTTTCATTTGACACTTGAGTATGAATTCGACTACTTACGTTGTTGTATTACACAATTCTTCTAGGACGCACCTGTTCCACCATGCATTTCGCAGATAGATGGCGGTCTTGTCCAAGTTGCCATCGAGGTCGAAGACAGAGCACAACGGTCCGCCATCACAAGTAGGGTTTGATTACTGTCTCTGAGTTAAGAACCAAGTTCATGCCCCTAGCTTAACAGAGTGAACGTTCGTTCTCTCTGTTGGTATTGTATTGAGGCCATAAATTTGGTCTTTCCAATTTCCACTCTAGTATGTTAGCGTGATACTCTAGAGAGGACTGGCAAAGAGCAGTCGAAAGCCCTTAAAGCGCAACCTGCAGTTGAGACATTGTGAGAGGCCTTGAACACTCTGAGGATTCAACATATTCGACCACTTAACACAATTCACATGATATCTTGGGGATGGCGGGGGCTAGTGGACGCACGCCCGTTTTGCGATCTTATTACAGCCTCTGGACTGATATCGACCTCCAGTAGAGTCTAAGCTGCATATCCTTTTCGGGTTACCTTTCCGGTAACACGTACAGTTGTTTTAACCTCCTTATAGTCCCGAACGCTCGTTCTGAATACATGTACTCGGTCCCGCTACGGATGTAAGTTCAACACAAGGTTGTTGTAGATTGTCTCCGATATTCCTGTATTTCCCTTAGTGTATTCTACTTCATTTCAACTACCCTTAGTAGCCTGTTTACCTCTGCTTAAGCTATCTGAACAACGGCCCCAAGCAGACTACAGATGCCTGCGACAACAACAGTATTGAAGTTTTTTTTGTTACACATGATATTGATTTACTTGTGTTGAATCTACAGGAGTAAATGCCGATGATGTTCGCGTCACAGTTGCTGCACCAGCAGCTAGAGGGGAAGCAAATAACGAACTCCTGGAATACATGGGCAAGGTTGTACTCTTGTGTGTTTTGAAGATCTGTACCAATGCGCAGTCTAAGCTCTGAACACTAGTTTGGGTCTTTCAGTCTTCACTTATAACGTTGTCTGTTGTTTCAGATAACGATGAGCAAAGAAGCGAACACTGACGAGTCAACATCCTTTTTTCCTTTCCCGTCTTTTCAGGTGTTGGGCCTAAGATTGACGCAAATGACTTTACAAAGAGGTTGGAACAACAAGTCGAAGCTGCTAGTGGTGAGTTGCCTGCCTTCATTATACCATTTCTGCTTAGTGTTGGAAGCTGTTCGATCAACCTTGTCTGAGATCTGGATTATGTGGAGATTTCTGTATGGTGCAAACGTTGTCCTGACACTCGCATCCTTCGGATGTGTCTGGTTGTTGATTGGGAGTGTGTTATGCGCCCATCAGGTGGAAGACTTGACTGTGAGGGAGGTATACGAGAAGTTGCTTGCCGCTGTGCAGCCTTGAACATTCTTAACATTGTTGTTGAGAAGTACTTGTACGTACACAATCGGGCATACTTAGCTTGCTCTATCTCATGTCATTTGTATGTCATTCCACTCTTGTGGCTGTTTATCAAGTCACATGGAGACCAATGGTTCAACTGTACTATAAGTTTTGCCTCAATGACGAAAATCACAAATTTAAAGCATCGGGAAATTCGGCAGTGTAATGTGTTCAATCTATACCTTAGTTCTGTTTCGAGCATGCGTCGAGTGTTTTCATGGGGCGTTCACATTCAGGATGTCTGACAACGATGAGATTTAACAAAATGTAATGTACTGGGGCCAATCCATGACATTCGTATGAGCAACGTTTATTTCCGCAACATCGGTAAACACATCCTCCCCCAAAGCTGAAATACTTGCCATCCTATGTTAATCAATCATGTTCGAACAAGTTTGACATAGGGCTCATTATTCGAAAGGATGTAAATGTTATTGACTCTTTTCTGTTTGGACCGATAACGCAATTGGAGGTAGATAATCAAATGTCTCCATGGGGAGCTGAAATAAATATATGTAACGATTTGTGTGTACATTAGTGTTAGTAGTGAGGAGCACTAACGGCGGCTGTATGACTAAGAGGCCTGGAAGGTGGTGTGACATATGTTTCACATAGGTTCAGTATAATGTCCTCAAAGTAGGCCACTCATGTTTGAGGTATATGTTGGCATGTGTATATGAATGATCTGTTGACAATGAAATCTATTGAGGCAGAATGGCTAATCTAAACGCTAATCAGCCTTTTTTGATGTGGAACCTATACGAACGGAGAGCCCAATAAACAGTATCCTTGATAATACTTTGTGTCGTTAAATAATCGATTCCAGTAATATGAAGATGTGGTTAGAAGAGGAGTGAGTAATCATGCCATTATAGAGGACCGTATGCTCTGTGTGATGAAGTACGGTGGTGGTTTGTGAAAACTTCAGTGTAGTAGGGAAGTGTAGTGAGCAACGTTCTTGAGTAGACAACCGAACTAAGTTTCACGCAAGAGCGCAATAGAACTTCACACTAGAGCTCAATTGAATCATGAAACCAAAATGTATACTGATGTATTGACAATCATGAACTTTGCGTTTGATTGGTCATTTGTAAATGAAGTACAGTTCTTCAATTGCACACGGTAATCGTTTTCAACTAGAGAGGGTTGCAGTTACAGAAGACTCTTCGTTGAGGTTGAAAAGCATTGGCTGATCCAAGCATCTATGTGTAGTAGTATAGTTTCCTCAGTACAATTCCCGGAGTCTAAATGAATTGTGTGGTCCAAGATGTAACCATAGTGAGAGAGATGAGATAATGGCTCACATTACGAAATAGATTTTGGACAAACCAGAACACAAACTGATATTTGTCCTTCGGTCAAGACTACTCGATCACATCTTCCAAATGTTAGAAGTATAATTTTATCGTCTTCGGTGCAACATATTACCTCCCGTCGACAGAAGGTTATTTACAGAAACAACAGTAGTCAAAAGAGCATAACATTGAAATGGACGGAGCAATGCGGTATACGTTTGAGATCAATACATCACGTTGATCGATATGTGTTCATTAGATTGCATGGTTTTCGCCGCGTTGTTCAAAACTTACACAAAAAGGAAAACTATTTCATCAAGATGAAGAATAAAAAAATCTTCATATCAGTTAATATGGGCGAATACCTGGTAGTAACAATGGAGCAGAATTTCAAATCCTCATATCCTAATTACCTTCAGAGTTTCCTTGTGGGTTCTCTTGGCCGACATTACTCTACCTGTTTTGGAGTTGTTTCCTGAAGTTAATGTAGTAAACAGAAGTTTCGATACTTCAATGGAAGAGATGTATGAGATCAGTATTAATTAAATAATCCGATCTGATTGAAATAGAAAGTTAGGTCAAATCATGTTCAATTGAGTCACACTTGAAAATTTGTCACATCATTATAATCTAGAAACATTATACTTTTAGATATTCTGATTATATATCGTAGTTTTAAATTATTTTAACTTATTTATTCATTGTAATGCATAATCATAGTAATGTTTAAACTAACTTGTTAAAAAACTAAACAACGGATTTTCTAATATTTTAGATAAGGTATTCCTGAATTATTATATTATAATAAGTTAATCATCATGTAAGCGATTTATATAATTACTAATAATTATTTTTAAAATATATTTAAAGGTTTTGATCAATTTGTATAAGAAAATAAATACAACCAAGAATTCATCAATTTTATCAATGATTTTTGAAATCAAATACTATTTATTTGTAATACATATCTATTATTGTACTTTATATATATTCTAAAAATTATCATAACAGTAAAATTAAATAAATTCAAATCACAAGTATGTCAGTAAACATATTCACATTTTTGGACAATCAAATATTTAGAACGTAAAACAATTATACACAAAATACATTTTTAATTACAAGAATTACATGATTCATGTGAGCAAAATCATTCCACTAATACTCACAAAAATTTTCACTGAAACACATACTAATTTGTATGGAAAAATCTGTCATCTTATCATAAAGTTTATATTGACTAGTCAAATTTGTCATAATCAAATTGAATTAAATTTATTAAAATATGATTTGAGTCATACAAACAAATTCTTATTCATACTTTGAAGTTTGAATTTCCAATATCATGTAAATCATGTTTTTCTGAAAGTAGTATTTAAAAATAACACATATTTCACTTTGTAGATAAAAATTAAGTTGAATTTAGAAAATACCAAATGATGATAAATTACATTCATGCATAAAATAATAAAACATTCCTCTATTTTACTTGTAGCTTTATGTACTTTTTCAATTTGACTTTATGTACAAGAAAATCTTTTTGATAAACTAACCAACATGATTGAGTTTGCATCTAATTAGACTAATTCAATCATTCAAATAGAAAAATCATATTTGGAAAAATTACATCAAAATTTGATGTAATTTTTTTAATATTAATTATTTTTTTAATTTAACATAATTAGTTTGCATCTAATTTGACTATTATTTTATTTATATCTATACACAACTAGATATAAATTATATTTATTTTAAATAAAATTTCCATATTATATGTTACAACATTTGAAATACATTTTTTTTACAATATATTAGGTATGATTATATCTAGTATATTTTTATTATAAAATACTAAACAGAAAATTTGATAGCTATTATTATTATTCTCAAAAGTATTACATGAAAATATATTTTTTGTTGAGTTCAACTCAGATTAAGGAGTATTTTTAGGATCTAATTCTTTATAGCTAGCTTGGTCGTCTTTGTTGGATATATATATATATATATATATATATTCTCCAAGGCTTTTGCATTGTATCATTGTTGCTTTTCACAACGGTAGTATGAATCACGCTTTCTTTGAAGGATGAATCACGTCACGTCTACGTTTACTCGTGTTTGTCTATCTGACTATCACTATATTGTATATTTTGGACTCACTTTTTTGATTTTAATCAAGATTTGGAATATATATTCTTTATTTGAAATAATGATACATTATTAAACATGATACATTATATTTCATTACATATTAAAAACTTGATTTAACCAATCAAGAATTTTATATGAAATCTAATATTTTTCTACTCATTAGGTATCATTACTAATAATAAAAAAAATTTAAAAATTGATAAATTCAATTGATAAAAATTAAATCACATTCAATGTTCTATATTTCACTCTTAGAAATGATAGAATGTAATGATGTTGCGAAGTAAAACTCTACAAACAAAAGATTAGATTAAGTGCAAAACTCAAAGAAAAATCAAAATACACCAAAAAGTTACTAACACAAGGTTTGAAATAAGATTTGAAAATTGAAAATTATATTAAAAAACGTAATGTTATTAATTATTATTATTACAATTATGTTAATAATCATTTTTGCTTTTCACAATGGTAATTGAACAATGTCAATTAACATTCACATAATAACAATAACAATAATAATGTTAATAATGTTAATTATCATTACAACTTAAAAACAATGTTAATTAATATTTCACAATGTTAATTACTGTGTGTAAACAATTGGTGGCAAGGTGAACTAATTCAATGTCCCAAAACTCTCTATACATACTACGGTATTAGTAATTAAGCTTTTGGCTACAACAAATCCAATTGTATGCCATCCGGGCCTACATCATAAGTATACAGTTTGTGTGTTACCGTCATACAAGGATTTCATCGTCATTTAGGGTTTTGCATTTCGTGCTGTCCTGGATTTATTTAAGGTTTGAGACAATAATGTGATCAGTGTTTTGTGTGAATATAAATTAGATAGAAAAATCATAAATAGTGTGGGTGATATGTTTGTAAACAACAACTAGATTTGAGTGTATTATGTACTTTCAAATAATACTACATGTAAATCAAATTCGTACTACGTGTTGTATTAGAGTTGAGTGTACTACGTAATTCCAAGTTGTATTACATGTACTTTTAACTTATTCCATATGTTGTACTATAGTTATACTACACGTGTAGTACGTTCTATTTTCCAAAGTTTTGATGGAAAGGTTTATAATAAAGAATGATTGTATAAAAAACGCTTTACGCGACAAAAACCAAGAATAAAGTAATCTGAAAATTTTGACTTATTTTCCTGATTTTGTATTCCATGAACTTCAAAACAACGTAACTTATTCTTAGTAAGTTACATTGTTTACATGACATGATTTCTGAGTGCAATTTTGGTTGATATATAGTTTATCTTCCAATAAACATTCATACAAAATTTCAAAATCGAACTTCACCTACGCAAAAAGAAATTTTTCCTATACAAATTTTACCGAAAACAAACTTTTGGAACTCGTGAAATCATTTTTAACTTCCAACATTAATAATTTTCTATCTACATACAATCTAGACTTGAAAAAAAAAACTGAAATATATCTCAACTTAGTCTTTGTAATCAATAAAAATTCTTGAGAATACTTTGAAAAAATGTTTTTGGTACTTAAGACCATTTTTCTCTCCAACGAACGTCGTCTGCAGAAAAAGGGCACATTCTACTATTATCTATTCTCGTCGACTAAGTAAATCCCGCAACATTCAATGTCAAATAATCTTGGAAAAACAAAAAACTCTCTAAACGCACAAGATCATAAAAAAACGTGGAAACCTTTGAACCATCAACTTGTGAAAACGCAAAGTTTTGAATGAGCTGCCAACTCTTTATTATAAATATTTTTGATAAAGTTTTTGAAATTAAAACCTAGTATATGTATATTAAAAGTATAATACAACACATAGTATAAGTTAGAAGTATATGTAATACAACTTGGAATTACATAGTTGATTCAACAGAAATACAACAAGTAGTATGAACTTTGAAGTACATGTAATATTACGTGAAAGTATGTAATACATTGAACTCTGGTTACTGTTTATAAATATAACACCCACAATATTTATGATTTGTCTCTCTGATTTATACTCACATAAAACATTAATCACTTTGTAGTTTCAAGATTGAAATAAATCCAACAACTGCGCGAAATGAAAAATTTCAAATGACGATGAAACCCTTGGGTAACGGTGACCCTTGGATGAGCGAGGATGTATTACCGATGTTACGTAAATAAAGGTTGCTCATACAAATGTCATGAACTGGGCCCAGTACATGACATTTTGTTAAATCTCATCGTTGTCAAACATCCTAAATGTGAACGCCCCATGAAAATGCTCAACGCATGCTCGAAACAAAACTAAGGTAATTTCATTTTGTCATGGATTCTTCTCGGATTTGCGGATGTGACTGAGCACGAGGTCGTTCCACGAGGCTCTATAATCGATCGAATGCTGCACAGGTCTGAGGAAACTGTGCGTGAGTGACCGAGCGTCTTGGATGACGGTGACCCTTGGATGGGTGGGGATGTGTTTACCGATGCTGCGGAAATAAACGTTGCTCATACACATGTCATGGATTGACCCCAGTACATGATATTTTGTTAAATCTCATCGTTGTCAAACATACTGAATGTGAACGCCGCATGATAACGCTCGACACATACTCGAAACAAAACTAAGGTAGTTTCATTTTGTCATGGGTTTTTCTTGGAATCGCGGATGTGAGTTATGTGCGCTTGACGGTGATACCGCGGACTTACTGGCGGACAGGATTCGCGGATGTGCTGAACGCGAGATCTTTTCACGGGGCTAGATAATAGATCGAATGCTGTGCACGACTGGAGAGATTGTGCGTGAGTGACTGAACGCTTGTGTGCGCTCGATGGTGATACCACGGATAGTGTGAATGGGTACGTAATGGGGTCAGTCAATAAAACAGACCATGTGTTGAAAATTGAATACTAGAGGATGTGCGCTCTACACATGAACTCTTCGCTCGAAGGTGACGAAGGAGAGACCGTCTCGTAAAGGGTCTCCGTATGCCATCAGCCCACAGTCATAAGGTCGGGTTGTTCTAGCCTGCCGTGTAATCAGAGTCACCTCCTCCAAAGATGGAAACCGCCACAGCTCTTAAAGTTGACAACGGCCAATTAAAGACCTGCCCTCGACAACTGGACAGAGTTGGTAGAGTCGACTACTGTAGTCATAGTGACATAAGATAGATGTTTGACGTGGTCGCGTGCAGAGTATATGCTGGACCGCAGCTGGGAAGCCGGAGGCCGTCCGATGAGCCTCAAAGGAGTCTTACTGGCCCAAACTCATATTATTCCGAAATCAACGCAGTATGGTGGACGTCCTCGCCCATTGTACTGCGTTGAGAATTCACGCAGCCAGGCGTGGCGCAAACGTGCTGAGCTCCGTGTCATCCGCACATGACGTGGTTTCTTCGGGAGACTCTGTGCACCGAACCCTACGATGGGAATACTCAAATTCGCTCCCTGTAATTTGTCCACACTATCCACTGCCTTTCGATGAGTGGCACACGCCATCGAGATTCTTCAATTTGATCAGTGAAACAGAAGTGAGCGCACTTGAACTCCGACTCGTTCAAGGGTAAGTGGACTAAGGCTAAAATGTACACCGCTGCTAATTAGAAACGTTTTCAGTTATATCTTCAATCCACAATTATTGCTACTCACTGCTATCCTCAAAATTAATATACTACTACTCCTTCCTTGAGAAACTGCACTGGTCCGGCACTGATTCCCCCATAAACCTCCAGCGGCCGTTAAATGTTGTGGAACCGATTGACTCCTGTTAGTGAGCGGGTAACTACCGGGTTTCAGCTCAGAAGACAGTTTAATATTCCAGCAACTTGGCGTCTTCGGATCCTGCACAGTACTGTATCTGACATCTGCTATATTCTCAAATTCTTCTTCCTCAAAGTGTTGATGGCGATGCCAAAGACGCAAAAGACGGACTTGGGGGTAGTGTATAGAGCATCGTTCCGAAAGACTACACAGGGCGTTGGTGTTAGACAGTAAAGTAAGTGCACTCTTGGTACAACTTATCCGAGAAGAGAAAGAAAAGGATCGTCATCTTCTGCTACCAAGTTTAAAACGTCAATTTGACGTTTGCTTCTGACACTGACATATTTATTATACAGGTCTGGTATTAGAGACTGGGACATGTACAGTAGCAATGGTGTATCCTCCTTTAGTATTTACAAAAGCGACAGAACTCACGGAGCCGTTTCTAGCACGTAAAGACAGTCATTACTGACGCCTGCACTACGAGGAGCGGCTGACACGGTATAGTTTTCGAGATCTATCCCCTCCCATGCAAAAATCCACCTGAAACTCAGTACACAAGAATTGTGAGGTGAAACCTGTGGATCGATGACATCAAAGCAGGAACTATTACCGGATCCTATGGCCTTAAATTACATGAGCTTCGTTTTTTAGCTTGTCGACGAGCTCATCAACAGATCCAACCATCACTCCGCCTTTCCGTTTTGGAGGGTCTACAACTTCCAGAATCTTGAAATCTGGTTTGATCTCAACCTTAAGTTCTTCAGGTGTCAACTTACTGATGGTTTTTTTCTTCGCCTTCATAATGTTGGGTAACGTGGCATATCGAGGCTCGTTGAGGCGAAGATCAGTTCTGCACAAGGGCCACAAATCCAAAGCACTAAGTATCGTATATTCTTGAACAGACAACTTCTCTGATCTACCCATCGCATTCTAAGAATGAAGGAGGGAACTAACGTTATAACTGCCGGAAGCTGCAATCTCAGAGTCTCGAGACCTCCATCGACCTCCCTCTCGACAGTGACATCATTTTTGTCGCCAAAATATACCTGCATGCACGTATTGTCAAGTCAAGGTGATGAAGACCAGGTGAAAGACCAGCATTCTTTAATATAAACGAATGAGATAAACAAAACATGATGCAAGTCTGCCTCCCAGCTTAAACTACGCTTTCGGAAGTACGTAATTGAGAAGTTGTCAAAGGAGTAAACAAAAGTGAACAAGCAGGTTATGGTAAGGGGGCTGATATGCACAAAATCACGTCATGATCTTCTCAGCATAAGATCAATTTGTGAAAGAACTCTAGGGAACAAGGCTGGACCTTTGACGCAAACGTTGCTTGCGGCCACTTGAGTAATCCGGCCACCATTTGTCCAGTTTGATTTGCATCATCATCGATAGCCTGAAGAATTTAACCATGTCCAGTAGACCCCATTAACATGAATACATACGTCTAAATCTGAAACCGAGAAAGAAGTAAAGCTCTCAGGATCATGGCGTACAACGGACGTTGTTGATAGGCGTGCTGCCGCACTAAAATCAAAAGCCCTGACAACCTTGAAAAAAGAATCTTTGAAGAAATATTCCTAATCTACAGGCTGCTTGACGAATTTATGTTCATCCAACAACCCAATTTGACAGTACAGTGTCGCAAAAGAAGTGAAAAGATCAAAGATCCGACCTGTGCAGACAACAACCAAGATCTTCATTGCCTCCAAGAATGTCAGGCATTTCTTTAGAGGACCTTGATAAGAATTCCAAAAATTTCTCCTACAAATCTGTCTCTTCATCAAGCTCCAAAACTCCGCCAGACAGAAATAATGGTCTACACCCACTTGCACTTCTGCTTGAATCACTTACTCCCTATCAGATATGTACTTCACTACACTTGCCACGAGCAGAAAACTTGATCAATGGATAATATACACCAGATCAGATGCTATGAGTCTGGATAAGATTAGCTGTTACCCAGTAAAAGTCAGACAGCATTGAAAGGGAGGGAAATCCAATGTGATGATTTGACAGGCTGACGAAGTATGTAGGACCAGCGAGAAAGATTCCAAAATTGTTGAGCTTTTGAACGAACGGAGTAAGTACCTAGCAAGCAAGTGCTTAGAATTGAAACTAAGTATAATACTCAATGTGACTTCCTGCTCAAAAATACCATGTCTTGTGGACGTAACCTAGTAGAAGAAATAGAGTTGAGTTCCAAATGCAGCCACAGCACTGTACGTGTAAAGGTCAATGAAAAACTATGTAATTAAACATTGCATTAGTTATGCAATGTATCCTTGGAAAGTGAGAACTCGACTTCCAGTTGTAATCAACTCAAAAAAAATGTGACTCCACTCAGAAGCAAATGTAATCTAGACTTGTGATAGGCGACTTGAGGACTTCGGGTATTGCGATTTGTAAACAAGTCATGAGCTTTGTTTAGAAAATTCAGACTATGAGTGACATGTAAACTGCAGGGCTTCTCTGCAACCACCGTCTCCTCGAAAGCCTTTCAAGAATTCTTCAGACCTCAGATGGAGTAACATGATATAGGTGCAGAAAACATAGAAAACATAGAGCTGATATTCTCACCTGCTTTCCAAGAAGAAGAATCTGAGGCTGCTCGTTCGCTGCAACAGCTCGGAGCAGTTTCGCAACTGCTAAAGGATACAGAGGGATCTCCGTGCTAACGTGAATGGCACGATCAGCGCCCATGGCAAGACCAGTTCGCAAGGTCTCAACACACTGGGGACCCCCCATGCTCACAACCACCACCTCCGATGCCTTTCCAGCTTCCCTGAACCGCAAAGCTTCTTCCAGAGCAATTTCGCAGAACGGGTTCATCGACATTTTAACATTATTCATCTCCACCCCCGTCTAAAACACGAGAACGCTAGGCTAGTTAGAAACCCGGCATACAGAAGCCCTCACTGATCGAAAACCACGCAATTTCAGCCTGCCTCACAGACTGCCACACCTACAAATTCACTGGAAAATTCTCATCCGAAATCTCGCTCCGTCAAATTGTCAACTCTCATCGCCTTGCAAAGCCATACCTTATCAGCTTTCACCCGGATCTTCACGGCATAATCAATCACTCTCTTCACGGCCACGAGCACCTTCATCTTCACCGCCGCCTCTTCGCTATCGGTGGCCACAATCAAATTCGAGAGTCGATACGCGCCTCGCAAGATCGGCAAATCCCTCGATCCAACTCCAAACCTCGAGGTCCGGACCTCACGACATCGAGAACGAGCAGCTCAACCGGGACGCATTTGCGGCGACCCAGAATCCGGCAGGGCGTCATCGGTGTGCGCGCGTGTCATTCCGGCAGGGGCGGCTGCTGTCGCGGACGCTCGGTGACGTTTGACGGAGCGCGCACCTACTCCCGCTCTTCGAATCCCCAAATAGCGGCATCGGATCCAGATACTGACGTGCTCGTTCCGCAGATGCCCCGCTGGCCGCTGCCCGGGTGCGTGACTCGGACGCTGACGTGCGGCCGCGTGGCGCTCCCACCGGTCCCCAGGATATGCGCACAACGGGAGGCGGGATCCGGGCATATTCTCCCATACAGTTGGTTAGTTGGGACGGACAGCATCATCCCCCTCGAGCTTCGAGCTCAGCAGCGAGCTCGAGCTTCGAGAGAGAGAATCGACGGGCTTGCTCTTCGCCTCTCTTCGCCTCTCTTCGGTCCACCGAGAGAAGCGTTGGCGTTGGCGCAACCAGGACACTCGAAACGAACGATCATTCGCTCAGGCGTTTGTCGTCGAACGAGCGAGCGAGCGAGGGAGTTAATTTTGGGTCCTTTGCTGTTCTCTTCTCCTCGTTCGGTTCAATGCAAGGAGTCGGTGCTCGCGCCGCCTCGAATTGCTCTTCAATAGCGCGCCTGGCTGCAGGAGGCATGCATACGGTCCGCCCGTAGTGGATGAATTGCATTTGGCCGCGAAGCGAAGCGCAGGCAGGGCCCGATGCAGGCAGGCAGACGCGGTCGGTGGTCGTGATGTGGTGGATGGTGCGCTTCGGAGTGTTGTCGCACCTCTTCGGTAGCTGCTGCTGCAGCGAGTGAAGAAGGAGCGCAATCCGCCATCACTCGAATCTCATGTGCACGAGCCACGGAAGGAGTGTGAGAGACAAGCGGAAACTCTGTGGCAGACGAGTGTGAGAGACGATGGTCGTGATGGCGAGCGAGTACCGCATGTTGGAGGACGCGAGCGGGGGCGCCCGCGCGAGCGCGAAACCGCGTGGCCACCATGTGAACTTGGCGGCGCTTCTGCTCGTGCTCATGCTGCTGAGTTGCGCCGTGCACCGGCATTTCTTCTCGACGGCCGACGCTGGGCCCGCCGACCTCGTCCAGGTACTCTTGCTCTCCCCTCTCCCCTCTCCCCTCTCCCCCACACACGAGCTGTATCAGAATATCCCCCTGCACCATTCGCATATTCCATCCCACCGCTTCTGTCCAATCCCAAATGTTGTCACATTCACATGCATTCAGTCTCCCGACGGAACTGCCATTTCGGGTTCCCCTCAGATGCCTCCCTGCGAGGATTCCATCTCGAGGGCATGAATCGAGAGACAGGGGAGCTGACAGAAGGAGAGGTAGCACCATTTGGAATCCGAATCTCGCAAATTCGGGGAAAATGTTTCCACATGGATTTATTTTTCCGGACGGAACTGTCGTTCACTGTCACTGCGAGGATTGCAGCCTCGCGTTGAGCCGTGAATGTGAGGAATTGAGGGCATGAATGGGGAGACGATGGTCGTGGTGGTAATGCTGCTGACGGGTTGTGGTGGGCTGGAGCAGACGAGGCCCGAGACGGATATCCCGTCCACCGTCGAGGGGCCGTTCGCTCCCAGGACGGTGCCGTTCGACGGCACGCTGACGCTGGGGAGCGAAGATCTCAACGGGAGCAACCCGCGCGTCGTTCGAACGGCGACCGGCATGGAGCCGGAGCAGATCTTCCTGGCGCTCTCCACCCCGGACGCCATGTGGGTGTCGTGGGTCACCGGTGAGTGACCGGACGCCAGCCTCTCAATTCTCTCGCCCGAAGCAGCGTCCCGACCAGCTGACCGCCCGATTTACCGACCCACCGGGTTTCTCTGCGCAGGTGAAGCGCAAATCGGCCAGAATGTGGAACCTCTGGATCCGAGCTCCGTGGCCAGCGTCGTCGTCTACGGCACCGGGACCAACCGGTACACGGACTCCGTTAATGGCACCTCGGAAATCTACAACCAGCTCTACCCTTTCGAGGGCCTCGACAACTACACCTCCGGCATCATTCACCACGTCCGCATGACCGGTACGCCCGGTCGTCCTCATTCTGAATTCTCGATGCTTGTGCTTGCCTCGACATTGGGACTGCGCTGACGGCTGACAGTAGCATTTTCATCGATGGTGTCCTCGTGTCAGTGATGGGTGAGAAGGATGGAAGTTTTGAGGGTTTGATGGTTGGATTTGGCAGGATTGGAACCGGACACTCTGTATTTCTACCGAGTTGGGGATCCGTATTTGGGGTCGATGAGCGATGAGCATTTTTTCACGACGATGCCAGCTCCTGGACCTGCCAGCTTCCCAACTCGGATTGGGGTGATTGGAGACATCGGTTTGACGTACAACTCCACTTCGACGTTCGATCATCTCGTCCAGAACCGACCGGACCTCGTTCTCATGGTCGGAGATTTGACTTACGCGGATCTCTACGTCACGAACGGCACGGGATCCTCCTCGTACAGTCAGACGTTTCCCGACACTCCCATTCACGAGACTTATCAGCCGAGATGGGATCTATGGGGCAGGTGAGTTCTGAGTCCGGTGACCAAAGTCGTTCGTACTCACACTATCAGATTGAAATACAAGAATGGAGTTCGATTGTGGACACTCCTCTTTATACTCAACTGACTTTTCTCGCTTTGAAAATACATATAGTTCTGCAGCAGCTCCTTATTCATAATCCCTCATTACGTCCGCTTTCCGAATCCGATCGTCCAATTTTAAAACTGCAGATCATTGACCTGGTGTTTAGGAGGTGGACGATTTCCATCGAGGCTGTGAGGTGTGACAGTCCGGCTACATGCAAATTTCACGTAACTTACAGAGGTATTTGTGGGTTTGTTCAGGTTCATGGAGCCATTGACATCCTCAGTGCCTTTCATGGTGATCGAAGGAAACCACGAGAAGGAACCTCAGATGGACAACAGAACTTTTGCATCGTATCAGGCCCGCTTCGCTGTACCTTTCAAGGAAAGCGGATCGCCCAACAGTTTCTACTACTCGTTTGACGCTGGCGGCATTCACTTTCTCATGCTCGGAGCTTACACAGACTACAGCCAATCCAGTAAGTATTGTTTTCGGGCGTATACAGTCTCTCCGAAGACTATGCTGGGTCCATCCATTGGTGACTTGATTTCAGTCCGACTGACGAATTGCATAAATCAGGCGCGCAGTATGCATGGCTCGAGCGAGACCTGGCGAATGTGAACCGCAGCGTTACGCCGTGGCTGATTGCGACATGGCACCCACCATGGTACAACAGCTACACTGCACATTACAGGGAGGTTGAGTGCATGCGGATGTCCATGGAGGATTTGCTGTATCAGAACGGGGTCGATCTGGTGCTGAATGGCCACGTGAGTTACTTCTCTCTCCTCGCTACATGTCGTCCATGTCCTTCCCCGAATCGTTAACCGAGAGCTTGCATGTGAGCGCTTCAGCTCCACTCACACACGGACTCTTCGTGCTGTCAATCAGATCCATGCCTACGAGAGAATGAACAGGGTCTACAACTACACTCTGGACGATTGTGGCCCTGTACACATAACCATCGGCGACGGTGGAAACCACGAGAAAATAGCTCTCAAGCACGCAGACGATGAGCCCGGGCTCTGTCCCGACATCAGCAGCACCGGTGATGATTTCGGCACCTGTGGGTTCAATTTCGACTCGGGTCCTGCCGCAGGTCGGTTCTGCTGGCAGTCGCAGCCTGAATGGAGTGCTTATCGAGAGGCGAGTTTTGGCCACGGCATCATTGAGGTACGTCTTGCCCCCTAACCCCTTCAAGTCGGTGGTGGTAATATCCTTTGCACGAGTGAGTGGGAAAATTGTTCCCCGAGATGAGTTTCTTTTGTATTCCATTTCGAGCTCGCAGTAGATATGAGTCGAGAGTTGAAGCATCACTCTTCCAAGTGCGGTGAAGATACTCGACCGAAGGAAAGTTTTTGGCACAGTACATCGCAGCTGTGACTGCCCACTATGTGTCAAACTATGCTTGTGGACCTTAAGGTGATTCGTGGGAACTCATACTGGCAGTTGATGGTAGTTGGTTCTAACACCTCCAAATGCTATCGTTTGGGTAGGTGATCAATTCCACGCATCTTCTGTGGACGTGGCATCGCAACCAGGACCTGTTCTCAGGTGTCGGGGACCAACTTTATATCGTAAGGCAACCTGGAATTTGCTTTAACCAGTCGTTTGAGTAGAAAACATCATTTGTACACATTCTTTTGGAGAATTGGTGAGTGGTTGACAGGACAACAACTCTTCGGCGTATATCTCCAGTTTTCTGATGAGGACAGTTCAGTACTCCGGATGATTCGATATACCTTCTAATTTATGTAACCCATATGGTAAAGGTGGGCTTGTACATCTAGAAACAGCTCTGACTGAAACATGAAGTGTAGTGACATGTCATTTTCGACCACCTTCTCAAAGGTCCATTGGCCTTCTGTAAAATTTTCTACCGATTAAATTGCTCCTTCATCGATAGTGACGCTGACGTGTTGCTTTGCAATGTTACATTTCGAACACCGCCTCGTTTACAATGTGCACAAATTTTACAAAATCACCTTTTCAATCAATCTCATGAATGTATGTTTGAACCCTACTGTATGTATCAACATTTAACCGGTTTATTGATGACGATAATTCTCGCACCAATTTGCACTCAGTAAGAAAGAACGAAGACTGTATATCAATAAACTTCATACAATACTGGTACTTCACCTTCGATTTAGTGGCAAGTGAATTTACTAAACAGAAAAAACCATAATGCGAGTACGATTTGTACAATTTGCACAAAAACATTCAATATGACAAAGTCGCTAACCATCAATATTTCAAACTATGGACGGTACAATAACAACAATTATGGAGTTTCTCCATTCGCTAGCATGTGCAATGTAGACTTCATATCTGTTACTGCAAATTGCGTAGGGTACGCACGAGTCGTACAACGTCGCTAGGTCTCGAGAAGCTTGTGAAAGAAGGTGACCTGCTTCCACGAGCCAGACACTGAATTTTCCCCCGACTAACAGCTGGAAACGTGGACCAAAACTTGTACACTTAATCGCGAGGCGCAAAAGCCTGTCTATCGTGGGACGATAGTCAAAATGTTATTTTGCAATCGCATGATAAACCCGCCATGGATCGATAGTTGCAGGGCCTTCCGAGCGCCGGAGCTCTCACTGCAAGCCGCCTGTCGCAAGCGTTCCACGGCGTCGAACCCCAAACTATGACCTGTGAAATTATCGGCAAACTGCTTCAGAACGCGACGCTGCAGAGCAATGGGGAGCGATTTGAGAAGCACCACGTCCAGTCTTCGCCCTGGTCCCGGGCCGTCAACTTCCGACTCGGCTTGCCCTAAAATGCTACGGCACAAATTGTCGAGATAAAGCTGCTCTCCGTGCAGAATCTCAGCCCATCTCGCCAAAGACTTGTCGATACCTCCGTTGAAGTGCTTGCGCAGATACGGAAGGAGCTCGTGACGGATCCGGTTACGATCGATGTCCAGGAAATGGTTGCTGGGATCAGGCCAAAGGGGCATCTTCATCTGCCGATGGAAATCACGCAGCTCGGACCTCGTGACATCCAGAAGAGGCCGGACGAGAGCCAGCGGCTGGGGCTGAAGCAGAGGCTGCGCCGATCCGGGCGCCTGCGGATCTTCGAAGCTCTCGATCAGCTGCTCGGCTCGGAACGCAGATCGCTGCGACAGCGACGGCACGGGATCGATCCATCGCTTCCAAGTCAACGACTGGAGGCCGGAAATGCCCGTCCCTCGGCATAGATTGTACAGCAGCGTCTCGACGCGGTCGCTGGCGGTGTGCGCCGTGACGATGGCCTCGTAGCCATGGCGCGCCGCGAGGCGTCGGAAGACGCCGTACCGCCAAGTCCGCGCCGCGCCTTCCCCGAGCACGGAGCTCGTGGCGACGGCTTGGTAGTAGTCCAGGCCCCGGCTCTGCGCCAGCTGCGCCACTAGAGCCGACGCCCGGCGCGACGGCGCGGACCACCGGTGGTCGCAGTTGACGACGCCCACGCTCCAGTCCCACGCGTCGCGCAGCTCCAGCATCAGGTGCAGCAGGCACACCGAGTCCTGCCCTCCCGACACGGCCACCAGCACGCGCTGGCGCGGGCGCAGCAGCTGCCTCTCGCTGATCGTCCGCCCCAGCCTCTTGGCCAGTCGCGACCCCGCGCCTTCTTCCTCTCGCGCTCCGCTCGCGCCCGACGAGCTGCTGCTGCTGCTGCGTGCGCCATTTCTGCTTCTCCTCCTCGACCCCACGACGAGTTGCGAGCCACGCGCTGGAAATCTTGCAAATCGCGTCCCCGGATTGCTGCTCGTCCTGACAGTGGGCGGCAAAATGCGAGGCCCTAGGATTGCAGGAGCCATTGGGATTCGCCCGTGCTCCCGGAGCACTTCACATGTTGCCCCGCCCGAGCCTCCCGTGTATCACCACCTCATCGGTTCTGCTCCGCCTTCGGATTCTCACATCTCTCGCTCGAGAGCCCCGTTTGTTCCTCCCAGTGATGGCTCCGGCTGGTGTCGATGTCTCGTTTCAACTTAGGGTCCCATCGGATAATCTTCACTTCACGCCCGCTCGCTGTGCAATCCGCAAGTCATGTAGAGAAGCGAGGCCCCCAAAGTGGACACTCCCCCTAAAGCACCGATGAAAGCTCCTCCTTATCCGAATTCCCCAAGTTTTTTCAAGAGATGCCCTTCTCGAACACGGAGTGGTCTGGTTCATTGAGAAGGTTTACATGATGTGGGGAAGGGCTGACTGCCTGCCTAACTCTGGCGGGACGTCCGGCGAAATACGAACCATTGTGTTAACTTGAATTCCTTCGTGCGGCAAGGCACATCTATTTGCTACTCCTGCACTCCTGCATTTCTTCGTCTTGGACTGAGTGACTTCGGTTATGGATAGAGGCATTTCGCCTAACGAATGGTGGATTTCGGTTGCGTGAGCGGTGACGAGGTCCGTGTTCGCTGTGAAAGCTTAGCGACACTAACAGTTGAGTCTATAAGCGTTTCGGTCCGCAATTGATGAGATGATGAGGATCTGTCGGCATGTGGCTTTCAAGTGTCAGAAAACCAAGAGGCCTCAAATGTCGCCAGGCCCTCGAATGCCGGTCACGGGTCACGTAAGAAGCTTCAGCAGAGCCCCTTCTGATAGTGGGCAACATGCATGAGCCAACGCTCGCGTGTGCAAGTAGTTTGGCCTCGGCCTGATTCCGTCAAACATGTTAATTTCATCTGAATTTCCGATTCATAATGCTAAGACGAAACTCTTATTTATCTAGGTCTCGTGACAAGCACAATTCCTCGGAACAACGAGGCACGGCAGGCTTGCCAAATTCTCCGTGTGCGCTCTGCCACTCCTGCTCCCTGCGGCGGGAGTGACAGTTAGTTCCGGCTATAACGCGCTGGAGTTTAACCTCTGAAATTTCCTCGTTAACCACAGTTGCCCCACGTTCATAAATTTTTCCAGATTCCCGGCCCCCTTCTAGAGCGCCTGAGAGCCACGCACGATGGTCCGGATGCGAGGACCTGCCAAAGCCTTCGCCTCGTCGTTGCAAATCTTTAAGCCACAGAGCGAAACTGTTCCAGCGGTCGGAAGATGAAAAATCGTCTTGTTAATGGCAATTCGTTACATTCGTGCGGGAAAGCCAGCCCCACTGCTGTACAACAACAGTTTCGTGCGGTGGGTCTTTCGGACAAACTACGGTGAGGCTGGAGGTTCTTGCATACTCCGTCCGACCTGCGACACAGCCCTGATCAAGTGCGGAACCCCCGAGAATACGGCTTGAAGAGCAGCACCGGCTGCTGCACCGGCAGCGAAGACTCCTACAAAACTCGGTTTGGTGTCGAGCTTCGCTTCCAATGTATCCATCCGTTTGGCGAGACGATCCATACCACTGCTTACAGAAACGATCGACTTCTCCACCGCCTGGGCCCGCTTCGGGAACCGCTGCACGGCATACGTCAGCGCCTTCTGCATATCTTCAATCGCTTTTTCCGTGGCCGCTTCCTGATTCAACCCCTTCTTCTTGTAAAACTCGATCAGCTCCTTGGCGCTCGGCGGCTTCGATGCCGTTCCCAAAGGAGGAGGAGGAGGAGGTGGTGGACGAGAATCCATGTCCCGTGACTGCCTTGGCTCCCTCCTCGTTGTCAAACGATGACCCTCAACGCGAACACCCCGCTCAAGCACCTAAACTTCTTCTATTTAGCTGAGCTTCATCTCGACACTTCGAACGTCGATTCTTCACTCCTGCTCCGTCTGCACGGGGAGACCAACCAAACCCCTCGTCCGCGCATCGACTGCACCGGAGAACAAATGCACCGTCAGACAGTTAGTGCTCTGGACTTCTTACGAACACTACTTAAACCCTAACCCTAAAGCCTTACCACGTTCGGTCTGCAGGTTTGTCCGCACCAGGAAGCCTTGTCCTTTGCGAACTCGATGCCACAGGGTCACTCGATGTCGTGGTAATCCTCGGAGCTGGACCCGAAGCCCGAGCCCGAGCTGAAGATTGTGGAGTGTGAAGCCAGACAGCGGACAGGGAAAAACCCTCGAGAGTTATCGTGGATTTCGCTCGTGCGTATGTCGGGGTTTTGGCGGAGGACTGGTTGTGAAGGATTTTGCTCTTAGATCCGTGCACTGACGGAGGAAAGAGCGGGATCGTAGGTTTGCCTATGGGAGCAGCGGTGGATGCTCTGCTGATGAGCGTCTGGAAAACAGCAGGTTGAAGTTGCTGAGCTCGACGGGAGGATCTGGAGTGCGTGGGAGTCTAGGGAATTGAGGATCGAATCATATTCTCTCGAATTGCTGGTCCCGAAGTTTCACATTGTACGCGGTCCCGTAGGTCGGCACAATGGTGAAGGGGAAAAAGAGCGTCAAGAAGTATGTGCAAAAGCACTTGGGCGCTGCATTGAAGCAGCGGAAGAAGCTGAAGCCTATGAAACAGGCAATCCGGCGTCAACAAGCTGCGTTTAAACCTGACAAATCAGGGGAAGAACAGAAGGAGGAGGTCGTCGAGAAGAATGCGGGAAGCGCGTCCGAGCGACGAGATTCGAGCAAGAAAGGTTCCTCGGAGGTTACCCAACACAAAGCAGAGTTGAGCGACTTGGCACAAAAGGTAATGCTGCTCTGTGGGCCTAATTGTATTGACGGGCACCTGAACAACAGTGTCATCTGCCAACATCAGATTGTCGCCATGTAGAGCCGCGATCACTTCGCCAGTAGATTTTCCGCGACGAGAGTTGGCGCCCACTCGATTGCAGTCGTTCGTATGTGGCTGAAAATGTGCCAGTCACTCTGTCTAAACTTTCTCGTCAAAGCACTGACGTCTGGGCGCACTGAACTGGCTCGCAGGATCCTGAGTTTTACGAATTTTTGAAGGAGCACGACAAAGAACTCCTGGATTTCGAAGATGATGAGGAGGTTCGATGAAATTCCGACCAAACCTTTACTCTGAAATTCAAAGCCATGATGTTGGATTTTTTATCACGGCGGGCGAGATATGATTCTGCGAATCGTCTCTGTCGATTGTAGGAATCTGATGAAGAACAGAATTTGGACCTGGGTGAGGGCGAAGACGGTGAGACGGACGGACCGGCTGCCGGCGAGGACGAGGGAGATGGTCAGTCTGTGACCCTGACGACGGCCCTCGTCGATGAATGGTGTGCAGCAGTGAAAGTGAAGACAAATTACGGGATAGTCCGGAATCTGCTCCAGGCTTTCCGTGCAGCTTGTCATTACGGAGACGGCGAAGAGCAGGAAAACTTGAACACGAAGTACAATCTGGCAAATAGTCACGTTTTCAACCGGATCATGGTATTCGTCCTAGTTGAAATGGATGGGATCCTGAAACACATGATGACGGCCAACGCAGCGGGTGGAAAAACGAGCCAAGACAACATGCCCAAGGATCCCCAGAAGAGTCCACGATGGAAGAAAGTCGAGCCCTTGGTCAAGTCCTACCTCGGAAACGTTCTTCATATTTTGAATCAGATGACTGACAATGAGATGATCTCCTTCACCCTTCGGAGGCTTAAAGTCTCTGTTCCATTTCTCGTCGCGCTCCCAAGACTGTCGTTGAAATTTCTGAAGGTACGGCAGCAGAGTTGCACATTTGGGGTGATTCTTCACCCATGAATGCATTACTTCTCGATTCAGCTACTCAACTCGATCGTGAAATTCGTTTGAAAGAGCGGTCAGTGACTGATTGTTTCTTCCTGCAGGTAGCTTTGCACTTCTGGGGGAGTGGAGAAGGAGCCCTACCTGTCATAGCCCTGTTCTTCGTCAGGGAAATGGCGATGAAACTTGACTCAGAAATGTTGGATGCGTGTTTGAAAGGCATGTATAAGGAGTTTGCTGCAAATGCCAAATTCGTGAACCCGACGTCATTTCCCCGAATCCAGTTCAGGATGAACTGCGTTACCGAGCTTTACGGCATCGACTCAAGCGCATCATACCAACTCGCCTTCGTCTTCATACGGCAAATGGCTTTTATACTCCGGAATGCAATCACCGTGAAAACCAAGGTATGATCAATCTGCTCTTGCAACGCAATGCCTGCCACTCCCTCGTATGAACGACGAAGTTCGCGGGTGGAATGCGACTGAGTTGAGTTATGATTCGAGATTATCTGCCGTGGCTTTGGATCGGCGGCAATGCTGAAGTGGAGTCTATACGCTCTGTGATCAGGACGCCTTCAAGAGAGTCTACAACTGGCAGTACATCAACACCCTCCACCTATGGGTCCGGGTACTGTCGACATACGCCGCCCAAGGGGACTTGCAACCGCTTGTTTACCCCTTGGCGCAAATCATCGGGGGAGTGGCTCGGCTCGTCCCCACCGCTCGATATTTTCCTCTCCGGTTGCAGTGTGTGAAGATGTTGAATCAGCTCGCAGGTGCCACCGGTGCTTTTACTCCCGTGGCAGCGTTACTCCTCGACATGCTGCAGTTCAAAGAGCTCCACATGTCGCCCTCGGCTGGTGCAGGAAAATCCGTCGATTTCAACAGCATTTTAAAGGTTCGAATCTTTCGTCATCCTGGTGTAGTCCGTTGGAATAACCTGTGACCGAGCAGAGGCAGGCTGTGTACTGAATGTTGTCGATATTCTGCATTGTCACTTTCTGACAGGTTGCCAAAACAGACGTCAAAACTCGAGCCTTCCAGGACGAGTGCGTCTCGACCGTCGTAGAACAGCTTGGTGAGCACCTGGCTCAATGGAGCTATGCCGTTGCATTCCCCGAGTTGAGTGTTGTTCCTCTCATTCAGCTGCGTCACTTTCAAAAGAAAACTACGGTCGACAGGTTCCGTCGACAAGTCAAGCAACTTGTGGAGCAGGTCCGATTCTCTCACTTGCACAGGACAGAAATGCATTCAGTTCGACCGACCTCTCACAAATGGCGTGCATTTGCTTCTAGACATGTGAGCGGTCACTGACACCACGACCAAGCGGCCACGCGAGGTCGACGCCTATTTTGCGTGCGATGACAGTCAGCGGCTGCTTTCCTTATGTTGCTCTCGATGGTGCAGGTAGAGCGCAATGTGGTGTTTGTCGGCAAGAAAAGAGATGCGGTGACATTTTCTCCCAAGGACAGCTCATCTGTACAATCCTTTCTCCAGGTTTGTTCCTTTTTGCGTACCTGGGTGGGCACTTAAATAAGAGGGGTCGAGAGCACAGATTCCTGGTCGTCACATTTTGATTTCTGGTTGCAGGCTGAGAAGGAGGCGGGAGCCAGTCCGTTGTCGAAATACTTGGTCACTCTTCGACAGCGTGCACAACAACGCAGCAGCTACCTTCACAAAACCAGGTCTGGTGCCAACGGCAGTAGTGAGCAGTAGATGCTGGAAACATTTACCAATCTGGCTCTGATTCTCTTAGCAACTCGAACTGTCTCTTGTTTCTGGTCAGGCCTGTACTTCAGTTCTCACACAGATGTTTGGCCCTCAACGCTTTGCCACTTTAGACCGTCTTTCCTATCCTGCTTCGCCGTGGACACATTGTAGGAAACTCGAAGATCTGATAAGAATAAAGGGCGAAGTTGTAGTAAACCTTGTCCACCTTGCCTGTGCTGCTGTGCAGTGAGATCGTCGGCGACATTGGCGGTACAAAGAAATCACGCAAGAATTCCCGAGATGACTCCGATGGTGATGATGACGAAGACGAGGATGAGGACGACGAAGGCGGTGACGGTGAAGGAAATGGCAGCGAAGAAGATGACGAGGAGAAGGCTTCGAAGGTCTTCAGCAAAGACTGGCTTCCACAAAAGAAGTCGAAGGAGTAAGAACCCACCTTGTTCCGATCTTTCTTGCTTGCGCTTGCGCTTGCCAACACACCAGGCTCATTTCGACACCAAACCCACCGGGGCTTGATAGAGAAGGTTGTGTTGATTTTTAAGTGGCACCCGCAACTCTGAGGAACGGGAGTTCGCTTTGTGGACAGCACCAGAACTTCGAGCGATGATCCAGAGAGTAAGAGGCGCCACGAGCGTTCGGTCGATCGGTTCCGCCCAGCTGACACGTTGCTTTGCTTCTCGTTGTGCAGGGAGGTCGAGCAGGAAAGAGCATCGGCCAAGCAGTCCACGGCGAGGCGCGAGTCCAACCCCGACGACTCGGACGAGGACGATGGTGACATCGTGGAGGACCTCCTGATGTCCTCCGACGACGAAGAAGCGGACGACGATGTGTACGCCTCCGAGGACGATTCCGACGATGCCGCTGAAGGTCCTCGAGCACCTCCTTCGACCATCAAGAAAAAACGAGGACCTCAACGATCGCAAGGGCCGGGTGACAGATCCAGCAAGAAACCCCGGCGGAAGATGAAGACTAGTAATGGCACCAGCAAGGCCAAGCCGTCAAAGCCCTCCAAATCGAAAAAGTAGTACATCCGATTAGACGAATGTAGTTTTGTAATGCACGTAGTAGAAATAGAAGCAGTAGCACTCCCTCTCTCTCTCTCGCCATTCCGGAAGCTTCGAGATTTAGCGCAGAGAATTTTTTTCCTGGTGGATTAGAATCGGCCACCAGCAGTTTCTGTAACGTACATGCTCCACCTCAATAACGAGGATACATTCTTGCAAAGGATACAAAGCGCTGGCCGGCAGCTGTGAAGAGGATCCATGAAGTTTTCAACTCCCACGGGGTGTTGCCGATCAATTGTGAATCATTTCCGAGGGTATCCAGGAAAAAACTTGACAGTCAACGACTCTTCAATATGAACCTATCAAACCTCCCACTCATGCACCTAAACTTAAACTCACCTGAGCCTTGAGCAATCATTTGTGAATCATTTCCGAAGGGATTCGGATAAAAAAAATTCATACACGATGAAAAATTTGACACCCAACGACGCCGTCTTCACAATGAAACCATCACACTCCCCACTCGTGCACTTAGACTTAACAAACTGAGCCTTGAGCAGTCAATTGTGAATCATTTCCGAAGGAATTCAGGAGAAAAGATCGAAACACAAGGACGCCGTCTTCACCATAATCTCATCTTGCTCCCCACTCGTGCACTAGAACTCAACTGTCGGCCACCGAACCGACGGCACTCTCTAAAGGAGTCGAGTGACGGAACTCCAGTCGGGCGATTGTGCGCGGCTCTCAACGGGCGACGACAAGCACGAGTTCGAACTGAACGAGAGGAGGCCGTTGTCGAGGCCGCGGACTGCCGTCGGGTTTCGAATCGGGTCAGACGCTCTTGGAGGCGGGCGGGAGCTTGGGGTTGGCATTCTCGTTGACCGAGGCCGAGGTCTCGATTTCTGCGGCAGGAGCTTTCGGCGATGGCGTCACGCGCATCGGACCTCACCGAGTGCATTTCGAACATGGCAATCGGCTGTATGCCTCAAGAACCTGGAGCCGCCTGTGTCGCTCTGCGATGACTGGCGAACCGTGCGAGTGCGAATTTTTCTGTCCCCTCCGAACGAATGAAAGGCATGAGAGCGACAGATCGAACGAGGCGGAATTCGAATTAGGGCTTCGATTTCCGAGTGAGTAGGAGCTGTGACAGGGGCTCGAGCTAATTGTGACCTGCGAATGGGTCGATGGGTGGTGCTCCGGCTCCGTGCCGATCCGTTTGTTAGCAGTGGTGGAGGTAGTGGTATTGGCAGGCATAGAAGCAGAAGCAGAAGCAGAAGCTCGAGAAGAAGGCACTCGAGGCCGATTGGGTGTTGAATTGTGAGTTGCCAAGCGCGGTAGGAGAAGAGATGATGGACGGAGGAAGCGGGCGGGAAGAACAAGGAGCGAAGGGCTCGTCGAAGATGGGAGGCAAGGAGAGGCGGAAGGTGGAGTCGCTGGGCTGGCTCACGGAGTCGTCGGTCATGCCCAAGAAGCAACGGGCCATAGCTGGAGTCGGCGCGTCCTCGATCGTGGAACTGAGGGCCGAGCTCTATAAGACCCAGGAGGACGTGAAGAAAGCCAAAGAAGGGGACGTCGAAGTCGTGAGATCAAGGAAGAAGATTGGGGTCCCCGAGAAGAAGAATGCCGGAGTTGACGAAAGGGCTGCCAAGTGAGCTTCCCTCCCTCGAATGCTGTCTGTGTGCTCGTGCTTGAGGTTTCAGCGCGAAAGAATTGTCGGTCCACCGCACGTTCTTTTAAGGGCTCTATAAGCACGCCCATTTCACATGCAATCCACAAATTTGACTGTCTCCTTTCGGAAGTTGCAGTACCCGCAGTAGTTCCAGGCGCGGGATTCCTCACTCGGATTCTCCACGACATAACCACGAGAATTCGCATGCGTTCAGTCCATAGAATGGCCGATGTGGAAAATGGTGGAGTGATGCTAACTGTCATGTTTGGCTTTGCCTCTGTTCAGGCACTCTGAGTTGGAGGCTGAGCTCTCCAATGGATTTAAGAAATTGCTAGAATTGAGCTTATGCCTCTTCCCCTTGCAGGGACGCGCTCCACTTGAAGGCAGTGGAAGATGGGAAGGACGTCTACGCTGCTCTGGAGAAGAAAGCTGAACTTTATGAGAAACTTTCGAGGGGCGAATTGAACGAAGAGGAAGCCGAAATGTACAACGTGGATTTCTTCAGGAAAGGACTTCTAGAAGACGAGCGGTTAGAAATGGAGGAGGAGGATGGTTCCAGGGATCTACACGGAAAAATTAACGATTCTTCGGACTTGGGATCAGTGCACACGCGTTCCCAAGGTGGCTGGATCCGCGATGGTGCTTCCGGACTTACTCAAGAACACAAGCAAATCATCAGGTTAGGTTTTCCTCGACTAGCAAGCGCCTTGTCGCAGGAGGTCATGTCGTGCACGGGTATCATCGTTCAGAACGAAAAGATTCGTGCCTGTCTGTTGCCCGATTCTAAACAACTTATGTCGTCTGTCCTCTGCGTTCATGTGTTACAGGGAAGTGAACGAAGAGACGAAGGATGCAAGGGAAAAAACTTCTACTCTGAAGCAGCAGAGGTTATTGCAATCCCAAAAGAAACGAGAGGCTCTGCGGCAGGCATATCTGAAGCGCCAGGTTGAAAAACTCAAAAGTCAAAAACAACAATCTGCATCGTCCGCAGACGATTAGTCTTTTGCCACTTGATAGTACGCTAGATAGAGTCGTGGAGACAGACATACCCAGCCTGTTGCTTCTGTTCCTGAAGTACTACATTACAGGTTACTGCGAAGCATTTTTGAATATTCATCAGCCGACAAGAAGAGGTCGGTTGTGATCATTGCGCTCTTTATATTTATATATACTCTGATCGCCTGGTTGGAGTTGAGAAAATGTGAAGAGCACAGATTCTCACGAATGCGCCACTCTCGATCGCCAAGAATGGATTCGCCTCAAGCATTGTCGGTCCTGTCGGCAGAAGAGGAACTGCTCTCCTAAGTTTTGCCGACTATTGACCCCGCTCTAAACCGTGCCGTAGGATACACTCGAGCGAATTCTATAACTCGTAAGGTATTTCTCGTCCACTCTCCTTCCCTCTGTCCCTCTTCCTTGCATGGACGTCTGAGGTCGTGATAGATAAGGGTTTATTTGAAGGATTCGGTGCATCGCTGAATCAATTTGTAATTCTCCTGTTGACGCTCGCGAAGGCTAACCTTTGGCTGGAAAGAGGTGGACAGGCATGCACTATCATCAGGAGACTGTCGAAGGTCATTGAATCATGAACCGGATCGATGGCTGAAGTAACAGTACAAACAATGACCTCGATTGGAAGATGGAATTTGAAAGCCCCAGGCGCGACGCCGTAACTGCCATATAAAAATAGAATGTAGCAGAGAGCTGTTCATGAGTTTGGAGCTCTTGGTGCATTTACGCACCCGACACAAGTTTGTGCTTGCAGCAGTCATCATGTAAGTTTCAGGGTACGACGATCGGACATAGAAAATGATGCCATGTGTGTCAGGTGCTGTTATTTTATCGTATGGAAAGAATAAAATTTCTCGCTATCCATCAGCTAAATTTTTTTAATTGAACTAATTGTATATCAACTAATAGTGGTCTTTAATCAACCTACAAATTTATCTAGTAGGGACTAGACACAAGATATACTTTTGGATGCATGAAGCCGCACGGAAAATACTATCGATGCTATATCGATTAAATGTATGGATCCTGTCGCTAGAAAACATTACTTTACACAATCAAATCAGTTTCAAATGTATAAGAATGAGAACAGATGAACAAAGTTAATGATAGAAGTATTTTATAAAGCTTTGGTCTTTAGAAAAAGTGCTCCAACCACAAACTACATGTTGTGAACCACAACCTATTCACGGAATCAGGTTGAATCATCTGAAGAAAATTGAAATGGACTAAAAATTCGGACTTTTAGCAACTGAGGATACTCATGTCATGATGGCACAAAATTTAATCAATATTCTCACGCTTAATCACAAAAGACATGCCGAATGTTGAAATTGTACATTCCTGCGTATGTAGTATCTATGAGTAAGCATAACTCTTAACCTTAAGTAGGTCAATGATAACAAGAGAATCCCCATTTATTTATTTTAAATCGACATGTAAACGAGGTTGAAACGAACGTTTCAACCTCGTTTACATGTCGAGTTTAATTTTCGACTGTATACAGTAGAGAAATATGTATGGGAATGAATTTATTGATTTTCCACCAACACAAGTCTGAATAAGAGCACGTATTCTTTTCCTCCGAAACAGTCTAGATGTATTTCTATCTGCGTGGCCTCCCACAAAGAGAAGCAAAAGGTCTGATTGTCGTAGTCAGTTTAAGAGTTCAAATATTTTCACACGATACAAAGCTTTCAATCATTTAACGCCTAAGCTGTAAACAAATACGGGAAGTGAGCCTTCTGTAGAACGTTTTAGATTCTGATGTCGAAGGATAGTTGGTTGAAAACTACCTTTTACCAACTAGATCACGATAAAAAATAGTTCAATGGTAACTTCCTCTTAAAAGACTGGTGAAATCAAAACGTCCCTCCTAGGATTCACTTGCATCTGCACTTATCCAGAATGCCTAAACATATTTACGAAACCACGTAACTTTATCAGAGTGTTACTCTCCCACGAAGTGTAAACTTAGGGCCTATTTTTTAAGACACTACGCAAAGCAAGTAAACATCGTCGTATGCAGACGATAGTTACATAATAATTATTTTTTCTCTAACACATAAGCATGCAGACATTGGAACAGTATAGTTGTTGGTAGGCAAGTCCGTCCTTTCTTCACTGGTTGCAGAACAGATCATGTGTCTCAGATAAGAAGCCATTTAGGCATGACTCTTAATCAAAAAAATCATGGATTGAAAAAAGCTTGATCATACTGCGGAGTGAATTGATCGAGGGTAGTGGACACATCCTCACGGGCGATACAGAGCAGCACTACTGGCATCCAAGACTTGCTCTCATCTCTTATTTCTTACAGTACCTCAGACCCTTGCCCGGACAGTTTGGCCTGCTCAGGATGCTGTACCACAATATTCCTGTGTCAAGCACAGGTCTTGCAAACTAACAGCTGTACTCAGCACGTTCTTCATAAAATTTGCTACGGCTCTCCGTCTATCACGAGAGGATGTGACTATGCGTAGCGATGCATAGAGGACTTACTTTCCTTTGCCTAAGAAGTAACGAACGACGTAACCTACTAAAAGACCACATGATACTTCACTTCTCTACTGTGCAAGTTGCTGCGCATCCAATCAACATATGCTTCCCAGCGTGATATTCATTATGTATGAAAACTATCTCATAGCAGTTAAAGGATTACATCTTTCAAAAACTCAGGAAATTGGAAGGTAAAAAGGCCTCTGGGCCTGAAGTCATTCCCTGTTCTGGCAATACCACTATATAATAAATAATAAAAGAATATACAAAAGAAGTCTCTGAGTTTTCTCATTTAAGGTCCGAAAATTGAAGTCAATGATTTTCAACTCACCACGTCCCTACTCACTGAATCGCAGTGCCACATCACAGAAGTCAATCGCTTCAATTAAGAAAATAAAAAAGGCTGCATCCACCGCTTGGATATGGGTGTACTCCCACTGACATTTGACGTAATGAAGATTACTGCAAAACAAAATTTGGTAACAAGAGTGTTTGCATTGCTACGTACAAGCTGAAGGCATCACTTGCTCTCGTTTGCTCACAAACACATATTTTGCGTGGGTAAAAAAGACCTTGGTGCCATCTTAGCAGAGGAAAGATGGAGCTTCGTGAGACCAAGAATCTGCAAACGGTTGTACAATAATAATACAAGCTGAGTGTATGAACATTTCCCCTCTCAGACAAGCTATTTCAAATAACTGAAGTTAAAGTCTGAGGCAAAACTACCCAATAGACGTCAATTCCTATTCGAGGCAGTATGCTAGCAATCCACGGGAGGATTGAATAGCGTCAGGAAGGCATACCAAACACCCATTCCGGGCTGTGAACACTTCTGGCACAAATGCGCCGCTATCTTCAGGCACAACCCTGACAGAAATAAGTGCCCTCTGCAATCAAATGGGATTCTACCCAAACTTCACCAACCAAATCCCCATCAAGGCTTCATCACTGAAAGAGACTTGATTTTCACATGTTTGATATCTTCCAAGAATATGCTCGACTCCCTAATCAGTTGACAGGCTAATCTTGATGAACCAACTCATCCTCCTGGTAATCGAGCTTCTTATTCGATAAATGAGAATAATCCTAATGGTTCAAAACAAATCTGTAGCAATCTCAAGGTGAACTGGATCTCATCATGGTTGTCGAAGACCAGTTGTACGACTCAGGATCTCCTGTTCCTTTAAGTGACGTTGAAACCTCGTGAGTCGAGCCTGGAGATTAACAATTCCTGCCGCTTTCCGAGAAAGTACATAATTCAGTTGAGACACGTAGCGGTCTATTCGGCTGCCAGGGCGATCGACTTCTGCAAGAAGTTTCATTTCCTGCACGAGACGAAGATACATACATGAGCCTTCCTTTTTTTAGAGCAAATACTCTTTGCTCTATAAGCCTACCTCCCCACATATTTTGCTTTTATCTTCTCAGAACGGGTAAAAGATTCCATGCGATGTCGTTGGCAGAAGAGACGGATCACGACCCCAAGGATATGGACAATCCATTCGAAATCAAAAGTAACTGTTGACTCTTCTTAGAAATCTTTGAAGAAGGGTCAGCAGTTCTTGCTTATGGACAATCACTTCGTAATTTCGTCCTCGAAATTTTGTCCAGCCCATTTCCATCTTTGCTATCTAAGAAAGGTGAGGCCGAAGATTGAACAAACAAGCAAAATTAGTTGGGGAGAAAAACATCATATCTAAGGAACAGCAACTTCGAATCGGTGCTAAGCTTCACTGTACCTCGCGCACGATTTCCATAGTGTCCTCCACTTCCTTTCGATGTGCAGATATGACTTCCTCCTCTTCCTGGACACTCAAGAAAGACCAAGAATGAGATCTAAAATCAAAAGACAAAATATGAAAATACGCTCCACTCTCAAACAATCAAGATGCACAAGACATCTCGAATCAGGTAATAGTATGTCGCAAAATCGTATGTTCATGTAATAACACAAACCTCGAGTATCGCATTGATATGCCCATCATAACCTGTTTGGATAGACTCCAGTTCACTGTCCGTTTCTTTCATCGCGTACTGTGAAGCATTCATGCTGAGTTCATCCTTCGGGTTACTTCTCCTCTGGTATCCATTCATGGAATCGGCTCTTGAAAGTTCTTCTTTAACTTGAACGCTATTTCTGTCAGATTTATCTTCCCTGGTACCCTTCCTTCGTGAAGGTAAGACGAGCTGATGTCTTTCTTGCTCTAGACTATCATTACCCCCAGGTGCTGACATGTCCCGCAGATTTCCGATTCCACTGTCCATATTGTCTCTGAAGTTCATTCTATCCTTCTCACTAGCCACGGAGGTCATTCTGCTCTCATCTCTTCCGGAGAACCCAGAAGTTATTCTGCTCTCCTGCTCTCTTCCAGGAAAACCAGAGTTCATTCTGCCCTCCTGTTCCCGACTAGGAAATCCGGAGTTCATTCTACTTTCTTGGTCTCGTCCTTGGTAGCCAGAGGTCATTCTGCTCTCCTGCTCTCGGCCTTGAAATCCGGAGGACATTCGGCTCTCCTGCTCTCGCCCTTGGAAGCTAGAGTTCATTCTGTTTTCCTGCTCTCGCCCTTGAAAGTTGGAGTTCATTCTGCCCTCCTGTTCTCTCCCTTGGAAACCTGAGGTCATTCTGCTATCTTGCTCTCTTCCTTGAAAACCCGAATTCATTCTGCTGTCTTGATCTCTTCCTTGGAAAGTGGGAATCCTGTTTTCCTCTCGTCCTTGATACGAGGGGATCCGGTTCTCCTCTCTTCCCTGAAACGAGGTATTCCTGCTCTCTTCTCTTCCTTGGAAGGATGGAATCCTGTTTTCCTCCCGTCCCTGGAAATTAGATGGCATTCTGTTCTCCTCTCTTCCTTGAAAGCCTGAGGGCAATCTACTCTCCTCTCTGCCGGAGAAACCAGAGTTCATTCCTCTATCTTCTCTCCCTTGAAAGTTTGAGTTCATACCCCTCTCCTCTCTTCCTGAAAAGCTTGAGTTCATTCTGCTCTCTTCTCTACCAGAATAAGTATACTCTCCCACAGAAAGACCTTCACGTTCTGCCATCTGGTTCTGCCACATGAACCTTTCTGACCCTCTGCTTTCCTGCTGAAATTCCTGCACCTGCTGAGGAGGTGGTTGTACAGTTGGAGCTGGAGGTGGAGAGTTATTAGTCTCCCTCTGAGCTGTGGGAGCTGTAACCGTCGTTGTCTCCCTTTTGGAACTCCCGCTTTTAGAAAGTCCCTTGACTCTGCGTAAACGGAAATCAAGTTACGATCTCCTGCTGCAAGTCTCAAGACTGGCTCATTTGACCTCCTAACCCATGAAAGGAGGAAATAGGCGTTTTCACCACTAACCAGGGCTGTAGGTCATATCACAACCCAATATTTTCTTGCTAAGAACGTGGCAGGTACAACGTAAAACTTAGCTGCCAGCATGTCATACCTGTCAGCGTATCTGAGGGTATTCAGGGTATGTTCGCAGGAGCCGGCATTTGGAGAAATACACGAAATCATGACGGTCCTTGAGTCTCCAACAAAGGAATCTCGAAGCACCTCGGTAAGCTTACTTCCTCGGAAGGGTATGTGGCCCTGATCGTTGTCGAGGGCTCTGATGCACTCCTTCAAAGCTAGCAAACTCTTGTTAATCTCAGCTCCTTCCATCCTGTTGCCCCCAGTAAGCAAAACGTTATTCACTGAAAATTTCAGAAGCCTGTTTCTCAACCTCCCTAATACCGTGCATTAAAGCCCTTATCAAGACTTCAATGACCTACAATGCACCAGGACAGATATCGTAGAAGCCGTGTATAAAGTACCTCGTTTGGCGATCATTATCAGTTGTGTCTGCTCCACGTTCACTTCCGGCTAAATCAATAAATGAAAGCTTTCCCTGTGGACGAGCCGCTGCTTTAGCGTCACTACCATCTGGACTTTTTTTAATAACTAGTTGAAGTATGGCATGGGAACGTGATGACTCTTCGTTTGCTCCAGTTGAACCAGTGCTCCTTGAAGCATTCCCCTTATCTATGTACTCTTTCACGAGTTGTACATCTGATACGCGGTATTCTTTGAGACCGACAATGCATACTTGTTGTCGACCATCTTCTCTCATACAAAGCTTCCTGCAACATCGACATAGGAAGATATAAATGAGGATCAAAAGAAACCCACGTTCAGCAACCTTGAACCAAATAAACGGTGTCTGAAATTTAAAGGCACTATTCCTATTTTAGGATACATCAAAGACCAGAATACATGTCCACGGACATAGCCAGTAGTAAGATGCACTGGAAGTAGACCTTTTCACTCTCTTTTCCCCTCAAGTAATGATACCAAACAGTGGACCAGCTACGACTGGTATGACGATCCTTGAGTATAATACTCTCACCAGAGAGAGTGATCTCTGAGCAAACTACGCAGACCTGGTCTCCTCATCCTCCAACACTTACACCTCAAGAGTACGTCGAGGGGGTGAAAGTCTTCGCTTGGCTCAGATTCACTAAATTAGCCTAAACTTCTAGGCTACTGAGATCGGAGTCCTCAACGGTGACCTATGACGGGCTCGTTCGGTTCAACCGACGATTTTTCTTATAAAGCTACCCTGAGATAGGATGAATGGACCGGGATGTTCAATACGCACCTCCTTTCGTTCAGAAGGTCATAAAGTTTACCACCGTATATCTCAAAAAAGCTAAGCCACAGCTGAAACCCCTCATACTTGTACGATGACTGCTGCATGAGGCCAAGAATGTCTTGAGAGGCTCTGAGAGGCAATGGTTGCATCGTGTAAGTCTTTCCACTACCTGAAAGGAGTTTTGATTGTTGACAATCAAGGAAATGTGATTAGAAACAGCGAGAATGTCTGGATCGCATGGACCACACTCCTCTCACCTCTCGCTTTCGAATCACATGTACACGAAGAGAAGGAGTACATTATTAAATATCAGACATACTTATGTGTGATTGTTGCCCAAACCAACTGTATAAAAATTGTAAAAGGACAAAACAAGTAACACAGCGAAAACATATACTGCATGTTGTACGTTGTTTGCTCTCTTGCCTGTTTGACCGTAGGCAAAACAGGTGGCTTTTGTGCGCTGAAATATGGCGGGGACGATTGGCTCCACGGTGACGTTGTACACCTGATATATCATACGTATTTAGTTCAGGCAGATGATGGATTCGATTACGAGAACAGCGGCACTAGAACGGCAAGAGATGGCGGCGGCACTAGAAGTTCAAATAAGAATTACGAATCAGAAAACAGAAATATGAACTTGAAAAGCACACTTACTTCATCATTGCTAACAGATTCATCCAGAACTGCATCAAAGACAAATTCGTGCTTTTCAACGTATGCGGTCAAATCCACCTGCAGCAACAAACGACATCAGAACTTGCTAGAGAGTAGAAACCTGGTATACGCAAACACAAGACTGACTTTGAAGACACAAAACCTTGTACAGATGCATCTACATTCACAAAGCAGGGACGCAAAAAATTTCGGACAAAAAACGCTCAAGACTTCGTTATCTACACTAGACCTTTTGGTGGCGCAAACTGCAGTACAAGAAAACTACGGTCTACTGGTTTAGGCGAGAAATCAGTGACAAAGCACAGTTTCGTTACTCCTGCAACAGCACACTCGACTTCGTGAGAAAATGGCAGCTCCTGACCTTCAATTTTGGTTCATGGACTGTAACAGTAGAATTGTCCTCGATAGTTACGATATCATCTTCCTTACGTGCAAGCTCCTTCTTGTTTATGGGTCTTTTTCGCACCTGCAATGAAGGCAGACAATGCGCATCTCCTTAATTTCAGCAGCTACGACGATTCGACAAAGTTATAGTTACGCGCTTATACTGCAATTATTCTTTGAACAGACCCAGTGAGGACACTGAAAGGGCTTTGCAAGGTGGATGTGTCGCCACCTTCCCTTCAAGCACCAGAAAGATCTTGACCAGCCACATACAAGTTTAAAAGAATGATTAACAAATGCAACCAAATCCCTGAATCACATCCACAATATCGTCCCCAGTGTGACACTCCGCATGCCTTAATCTCACACTGTATGTCCTTATGAATGAACAGGAACTGCAAGCGTAAGTAAAATGACTTCCGGAATGAATTACACAACAGTTACTCCCGACATGAATTTCAATTATTCAGCAGAAGTTACTTACCACAACTTTGATTCTTGCCACGGTATTGTCTCTACCAGCTCCTCTTTCCCTCTCCAGCGTATTCGATCTCAATGGGCTACTTTCAGCATTAAACTTAGCTTTGTTTTGCGACTTGCCAATATTAAAAGATGACTCGAAGTCGTTTTCAAAACCTTTTTCGATTACAGGTACAAAAGATGGGGAAGAATGAAAAGGCTCCGGAATTGATACCTGCACATGCAGAACTCATACCTCGTTAAAGAAACACTCACTCCACTCATCTCTGCTACAAACTTACTGTCAAGTGGAAACACAGGGAAGTCTTCGAAGATTGTCACAATGTCGTCAGATTTGGCGAAATCAACATCTGATTCGGAAGGAAAGGTGTGCGCATAGAAGGGAAGTTTAGAGCTTCCGAAACTTACAATTCCCAAGATTTGTGTTAGACAACTGGAGAGGTAGAGATCACGATTTTTTAGAGCACAATTTTTCTCTCAAAGAAACTGGTTCCATATACGAATAAAAGGCCATGCAGAAAACAGCCTCATTAAACAACAGACCCAATATTGAATAACTACTCCCACGTACTTGATCTCTTCAGGTAGAATCTACTGAATACTGGAGCTTATTCTTTACTATGTTCCCAAATTCAGATCTTTATCATAACTGATTGAATCAGACAATCGCGTCACTAGGAGAGAAAACGCTCAATTGCTTGGCGAGCAGCCGCTGGAAGGTCACGGAAGCTAGAATGACAGATTGCAGCTTAGACCCCGTATAGAGGGTTTATTATTGTTACGTGATGCTGATGTGCACAACCTCTTTCCCATATCTTGCAATAGTATAACATTTTGGGTCCGGTGAGAAGAGCAAATGTTCCTATAGGTTATGCTTCGGTAAGAGTGAGCATTGCGTATCGAGTTTTTTTAACACAGAAGACATCTTCCATCTAGCAGAATCTTCGGGTCGATAAAGATCAAAGAGAAATTGAAAGTGCAACAACTGACGCTGGCATCATTCAGCGAGGTAAGAGGAAATGATGAAAAGAAAGTTAAATTCAAACACTACCCAAAGGAACAAGCTTACGACTTTCGAAACAGCTAGCCTCTTCGACATATATTTTATCTAGACTCGATAAAAGCAACGGATTCCGAAGATCTAAAAGATCGTTTTCGTACCTCAGAGAAAAGCTCAGAATCGTCAATTGAATGAAGATCCAGTATACCGGCCCCAAAGTCACCTCTAAACTCTGGGGACAAAAAATCCATGCCACTTCGATTTGCTGGACGTGAATAAGGAGGAGGTGTGGTCGGCTCGGAACTCGGTTCGGCACCACTGCTAATAGTCTTTATCAACCTGAATAACTTCTGCTTGTCCTCCAAGGACTGCACTCCATACCTTGCATAATCCTGCTTCATAAAGGTCATTCAAACAAGTGTTACAGAATGAATCGCTCGTCGTTTCACGTGATTGCACAGAGATAAGACTTAAACTCAAATCTTGCATTCTCTCTTGAGTGACTGCATAGGACAGCACCTAGCCTAGGCATGAATGGAAAAAAGATCTCGGCTCCCTTGGGACTGCGTGATGCAGGAGCTAAGAAGTACTCCTCGATTGAGGGGTCTCTGTATTCCCATTCGAGTTACTTATTGAGCAAACATAAAGCCAAAAAAGATCTGAAGAACGTGGTTCCTTCCTGACGGGTTATCTACGCTCGATCTCTGGTTTCCTGCGCAGCTACTGGATAGGGTGGGAGGAGGAACTAGAATGACGAGGCAATCTGTCCAGCACAGATGGCAGAAGTACATGCACTATCGTCATAGAAATGTGGATCTCTCCTCGACCGCAAGTGAACGTACCTGTAAACAACGACTCCCAGGTTTATACAAAAACTATAAACAAGAGCATCAACGATAACCACAGTAAATCACTTTGGGAAGACACTGCAGGTAGGACAAAGTCCACGCTCTACACTTCTCGAGGCGAACAGTCTTGTCTTAATCGTCCTTCCTTCCCTTCACTGTAAATGGCCGAAGAGAAGACTTTAGATTTCGTCATAGAACCAAATCGACCGTCTACGGCCAACATTGGCGTCAATGTCTACAATGGTGTTAGTTCAAGCTTGATCGCTTCCAGAATCTAAAGGCTCGAGCAGAAACGACAGAAAATAACAGGCCTGAGTGCATCCCCCCCACTAACATTGGCATCCAAGCCCCTGCGATGGTGAGACGAGCAGCTTGCTGATTTCCCACCAAGTTAATGGCGTGGGCTCGGAAAAAACCAGCTAAATTTAGTAAGATTGTCATTAACCAACGGCAAAAGTACCGGTGAAAGCAGAATTGAGTGAACTGAGCCTTCACCGGATACTCGAGAGCCGAGGCTGTCGTCTTAAAATCCTAATTCATTCTCTTAATGGCGTTCGTTGGCTCGGTGGTTCATGTGCGTGCGATGCGCTACAGCAACGACTCCCGGATCAGTTACACCTCAAACTCCACTGGAAAATACTAAATTCTACCGCCCTCTCAAGCACAGACTTACAATTGTGAACACGGGGCTCCACGACGATTAGCGCAGATTCCCCGCACGATTAAGGTCAGGTGAGAGTCAGAGTGCCTAATCGCATGACAAACACTGAACTGGCACGACAATCCAGTGCACGCCAGAAAGCGCAGAAAAAATAAATGCATTGAACGCACATTGGGCGCGCCAATTAGTTGGATTCGGAGGCCCGGAGCGGAGGGAGGGGGCAATGCGAGTGTGAGAGACACAGAGATACCATTGCAAACCTGGTACCAGGATGGGAGGACGCACCTGCATCAGCAAAGACGGGAGGAGCCTGTGGTCAAGGGCAGCAGCGGCCAAAGGAGCTGCGAGATGCTGCAGGCCCGCCGATTGCAACCAGCGCGCCATAACTGCATCGCCGGTATCGGCGCCATGGCTAGAGATGTGCGGCCCCGCGCTGGCAGACTGCTGCAACGGGCCGCCCATGTGATTTTTTTAAAACCACTCCCTCGCAACGTCCTCTCTTCTCTTTCCCTCCTATTCCACGACCAACATTGATCCAAAACCAGCTCCCGTTTCCGAACTCTACACTCCAAACCTCTCGCGCACTAACCTCTCTCTCCTCGCGCGGCGGTGCGTTTCGGATTCGCTCTCTACGCCTCACCTCTCCTCTCAGGATCGGGATCGGAAGCGCCCCGGAACATTCGTCTGCCACGCCTTTCGTTCGTTTGCAAATAAGAGAAACAAGAAGGCAAACAAGAGCAGTGCCAACCAAACCTCGAAAACGGAGCGAGCGAGCGAGCGAACCAACGAACGAACGGACGAACGACCGAACGAGGGCGCTGATCTGATCTGATCTGGCTCGACCGAATTTCGCCCGCGCGAAGCCGGATTGCCAAACTCCAGCGAAAACGAAAATGCGAAACCAGAAACCCGGCCAGAAACTCCTGATCACCAGGGCCTGCCCATGACGACAGGCGCAGAAGCCAACGGGAACCAGCTCAGGGCTGACGTGCTCCGGCTCCTCTCGTCCACCATGCCCATGTCGCGCCCCCGGCGCCCTCGCGGCCCCCCCTCCCCTCTTCCCTTCCCCTTCCCTGCCTGCCGTGCCTGCTTCTTCTCCTCCTCCTCCTGCTCCTGCTCCTCTCGACGCACCTCACAACTACGACGCTCGCACTTTCGACTCTTTTAAAACGAGGAGCACCACCTTGCGGCTCTCGGGGCTCGGGGCGCTACACAACCGCTCGTGCTTCTCAGCCGCGCCTCGCAGTCGTCCTTCATCCGATCACGCGAGCGGACGAATCGCGGCTCCGTTCCCGTTCGCCATGCGCGCAACGTTCGAACGGACGAACCAACGACCGAACAGCTTCTTCTGCTCCTCCTTCTCGACAGCGACCAGAACGCGCGGCGGGCTCGCAGACGAGCCGCGGCCAGAGCGCAGAACCACCACCGCCCGCGCTCCCGCTCCCGCTCCCGCTCCTCCTCCTCGCGCGCCCATAGTCGCCGCGCATCGACCACGACTCCGCCCCGCTCGACGCAGTTGCTGGTTGCGCGGTCGTTCTGTTGCTCTGTTGCCCTCTCGCGACTCCTCCCACGCCGACCACCCCGTCGATGCTAAAGCCGCCACGGATGGAAGGCACCAGGACGAATACAGTAATCAAATTCGCTGACAGCGCAATTTATTGCTTGTCGTAAGCCATTGAGCTCTGGATAAAAAGGCCCCGTCTGTCTGTCCTGCCGCTGCTGCCTCCTCCTCCTCCTCTGCCTCGTTCCAAATCAAATCAATATGGATGCCTTATTCAAACCGGTCCGTCCGTTCGTTGGTCTAACGCCAACCGCACAACCGCCTCATTTGGCCCGGGCCTCCAGCCCCGCGCACGACGGACTTCGTCCCCTGATTCACCTGAAACTCCCCTCCTCCGTCCCCGTTTAGCCCCGTCTCTAAACTGTTCTAGCGGAGCCGACGTGGTGGATGCCAGAGCGGCCCCCTCCCCCGTCGCCATTACTTCGTTCTCTGTGGATAACGGGATATTTCGCCCCTCGCTTGCATTGTTCACTCGAGACAGGAAAAGTCCAGAACCGACGGCCGGATGGACCAAACGAACGGAGAAGAACATCCGACGGTGGGTTACGACTACGACGGCGGTTTATCTTTCGAGATCTCCCAAACGCAAGCGATGACCGACTTTTAGCGAATGGATATTTCCGTGCGTTATTCGGAGAGATCTTGAGACCCGACGCAGTACTTGCTCGTTGTGGATTCGGGGGAACTCTTGCGACGGATCAGGAAAGGCTCGTCCCTCGACTACCACAGCGAACGGCGAACGGCGAACGGCAGAAAGCCGCAGTCAAAGACCGTCAAAGGTTTGCGGGGGCGAGCGATCAACTTTGTCCCTTCCTACGAAGTCCGTCCACGTGTTACCACATCCCAGAAAGCGGGGAAGGGGGTGGGGGTGCATCTCTGTCGTTTGTCTCACTCGTGACTATCCTACTATTCTTGCGCCCCAATCGATCGATCGAAATTCAAACACTCCAGTCCATCGCAGTACACCTCACTTCACCTCACTGACCTTTGCTTTTCACGAGTTACCGCGGCCCTCTACTCGGACAGAGAAAAGCAAAAGCTGGGCCCGGCCAATCCGAGGCCGGTTTGCTTCAGATTCAAACCACTTGACCGAGTGTCCTCGTCACGGAACGCCCCGGCTACAAGATGCCAGGACAGAGCTGTCCCGATCTAGACTCCACGCCCTACTGCCCTCATCCTGCTCCGTGACCGCCTTCCGTGAGCCTGTGCGCCTGCGCAGCGTCAAACTTATCCGAGTCTGCGACCGTCCTGCCTGCATTTCAAATTCCAACAGTCGCTCCGACGCCCTTCGCGATCTAAATCCCGGTTGGAGCCTGCCCTTTTGTCTCCAAGAGCGGGAGAACGAACAGGATCCTGCCTCCAGACCAGAAAGAATGACTATTCATAGGTCGTCGCATTTTCCGGCAGTTTTCTCGATTGTGTGAAAAGGGGAACACCATCGACCAGCCCGGGCTGAATTTTCTACATTTTTCCAACACCCGCAAAGCATGTCCAAAGTCAAAATAATGGACCCCATTTCCCCGGGCTCAAGTCAATCCGGCCATTATTCTGCCATATAAAGAAGCAGCCGCTGTTCGCTCTGGGCTTCACCGATTCAGGGTGGAGCTCGCGAACGCGAACAAGCACCCGGTCTTGGGCACCACGTCTGGCACCACCGCCATGTGCCGGGAATTAATTAAGCTGCCGCTGCCGAGGATGATGGCTGCACCATCTGGCAACGCAAAGTGAATCTACGTTGAGTCTCCGGCCCCAGACCTAGCTTTCGCGGGCCCTAGGCGAGCAGACTAGGACGCCTAGGCTGACTGGCCGGGCCACGTTCGCGCTGCTTCGGCGCCGAGGCAGCTCCGAACTGAGTTTCCAATCGCCATCGCCAGCCGGGTCGGGCCGGAGAATGAGAGAAGTAAGGATTCTCCTTCCATCGATCTATCCAGCCACAGTTTCCAACGAACTTCGTCGTGGGCTTTGGAATGGGCACCGGGAGCATGCAGTACCAGACTACGGTCCAGAGCTGGACATAAACGAAAGGCTACTAGCGCGCAGGAAATTCGGCGGTCAGGCAGTTTCTGCCCCTCTGCCCTCTGCTGGTGCCCCGCGAGGTGGCTTTGTCGCTTTGCGCGCGATGGTCGTCTCTCTGGGCAGGTCTGAGGTTTTTTCCGCGACCCAATCCCAGCTCTCGACCACCTCGCCCCATCCCCCCACCACGCTTCCCTTGTAATCTCCCGCTGACGATCGAAGGACCTCGGTCAGACCCTCCCACAGTATCCCGCTTCATTTCCCAACGAAGGGTTCGAATCATAGCGCATTTCATTCAAACCAATTACAAGGAATAGTAATTCTATCGAGTAACCTCCATGTGCTGAATGTTAACCCTAAACTCGTACATTCTATCCGTTCGATTTTCTCTTCACATGGTATCTTGTTTGAAGCGTACCGTATTCACATCTTTTTGGCTTTGAACTGGTTTTCCACTGATCGTATAATAGAAAATAGATCTTGTAAATACTATAATGCAAGAGGATTATGCACGACAAACGTCTCATTAACTTGAATTCGAGGGTGGCGTTTTTGTTTAGTTATTGAACCACCATGCACCCATTGTTGTCTCTTTGCAGCCAGATTCCTGATTTGAGTTTCATGCAGTTGGTCATACTATCTGCGGTTTAAGAGAAATCATTGGTGCAATTGTCTACAACAACAAAAACGATGTGCACCTGCTAGAGAAGCTCTTGACGTCCATGTGGGTGGTGGACACATACTTCTCGATACGGAGTGGAAAACCTTCGCTTCTAGAAGCAAGAGGAACGAGACACCTTAATATTTCCAAATATTTAAGTTGTGATGAATTGTATCCACCGTCGTAGGAGAATGGAGATGTGGCGCATGTCTTTCGTCCTCAAAGTAAACAAGGTCTTAAAAAAATTCGGTTCGATCGGAGGCCGACATCAGTTTTTGCACATAAAGAGATTGTTACGTGATGGAATTATAGACTCAAACAGGAATATAGAGTATGGTGTAATGAGAACCCCAGCAGATATATGTCTGAAAACCCGTGGAAACATTTGCTAAGTTCAAACGGGGCTAAGAGGATAATTTCCTCAGAACAATCATGTCCGAGCTGTGGCAAACAACATGCCCTAGATCAAGCGTGACGGTTGCTCACAATCTATGAACTAGCTTCACGAATCAAGGCTGTGAGAATTTTCAAGAACATTCGCTGGACTCCAACTCGCGATTCCTTCCACGATTCCGTTAACCTTCGACCAACCCTCGTTCTAGACTGGAACCTCGGTTGATCCTACTGCAATCATTGCACCCTCGAAGGAGGGCGAGGTCTACATGTTCGTTTCGCGCTCGGTGCGCACGAATTGCTGAGTCCATACATATGTTTAGCTAGGAGAGTTGAAAGTTGCACCGGATTAGAAATTCATGGAGATCCGGGCTACATCGTCGTGAACATGATGAGTCCTCGGATCGTGCGTCGCAGGATTCACCTTCCCCCTCTTATGACATTCTAATATCCGATGTGTCAAGTGGAATCGAATATCAGATGGAAGTGGATTACAAGCTGTCCCTACCTCCTACCACCATCCCGGAAGAATCAATCCAGCATGAAAGGTGGAGGTCATGGAAAATGAATCCTCGTCTCTTTGAGGTTGAGAAGGTCAGATTTGATCCACCTATATTCTCCGACCACGTATATTACCTGTATATCGAGAAAGCTGAGTCAAATCCATATACTGACCTATTACCTGTCTTAGGTTTCAAATACAAATTGGACCCTATGAAGGGGAATGTGCCGTGCCCGTGCCCGTGCCCATGTCTGAAACTGTGCTTCCGTGTTAGCTGTACATTAGGAGGGAGATGATGGCATGTCTTCTATTAATGAACCAATCCAAGCCCACCAGTAGGTATGCAACACGTTATGTCGGACGGCTTTTAATCACCTTTCCTGATTATATGATTCTCACGCTGCATCTCGCGGTCTGTGATCAGATTCCTCTAAATTCGTTCACCGAAAATTGGGTCACATGTCAACCCTCTTCTTTTGTGCTGACGGTTTAGAATTTCCCCTAATCAGACGCACTCCCTCAGGCGATCTAAGCTTCAGATGGATACTCTAGGTACGGTGCTCATTGGAAGTGGGTGACCCAAATTGTGGGCTACAAAAGTGCATGAGAGGAGAGAAGAGGAGGCAGGGCCTAGTGGATTATGAGAGGGCACCTCTTGGAAGAAATCTGTGTTGTGAAGCCAAAGAAAGCAGATCGATTTCTTCGCCTGTGGGGCCTCCTGACTGAGAACTGCTGTATGAAAAAAGAATTGGAGATTTTGTGAAGGTAGGCGTCCATTAATTGTTTTAAACCCTCGAAGGTCCGTCACGTAAAGATTGCTTCGAGGCGGAGAGTACTGTGCGGTATCTGACTTCTGTACTCAAACGTCCCTTGCTCGCAAGACTAGGAATCTTCTGATGCCATTGCTCGAAGATTCGACCAACAACAGAACTGTAAGAAGGCGTGATAGAAGTTGTGCACTGTCAGGAGTCCCAGCAGAAGGAGGACCGAGCGCGGGGAGGACGGTGCAGGATCGCACTCGGATGAAAGGCCCGCGTCATACGTGCGGTGGAGCTGACCGAGCCTCCCAGTTCGACCGTGCTGCAATCGCTCAAACTACAACTCGGACAAGAAGAACATCACTCGTGATGGCGGCAACTTGCTGCTGTCATATTCCCGCATATAAAGCGCAGGTTGGAGAAAAGAAGGCCCAGGTTGGCCAGTTCCAAATGCTGCTGGCTGCAACCGTCTCCGATCAAACCTTCTTGTAGTCGCGTGTGTCACGTCTCTGAATAGATCGGATGAAATCTCAGATCCTGAGATGAAGAAACCTGGCAGCTGAAACTTGTGGGCACTGATCTGGAGGTTGTTCGTCATTCGTTTCTCGTTTACGAGATTCGATATTGTTCTTTAGAGTTTGGTTAATTTCCAGAAGCGCTCAAAGGCATGCAAGTCAGCACCCCAAGAACATATGTTGCGGACATTGTTAGCACTTACCAAATTTCATGAAACACGGTGTGATTACATTTGGTGAGCACTGATAGCAGTGAAAATCATTGCACTATCTTGGTCTTTTGAAATCTATTCAACTGCATAATAATCTACCAGATTTGTTACACCGGATGGACAGCAAGCGATATAAGCACGTTCATCACTAGAGGATGACAGGCATTCCCGTTCATTTTGCGCCGTTCGTCGTGTTAGTTTGCATGTCTCCAGGAGCAGGCCAAAATTGTGTCGGTCTAAAGGATCCGATGTTCCTCTCTATGGAACGTTTCTACCAACCTGGAAGAAGCCCATGGTCAGTCGGGACGCTACATTGAGCAGAGATCTGCAGGCACGATCTCAGGTCACAGCGGCGAAGAAAAGGATCAGAAGCAGACGGACCTGAAGTTTGGAGCTTTGAGAATTTCTGTACTTGCGGGTTATCTGTCGACAAAGTCTTCGCAATAAGGAGAAGAAACACATCACGAAGCAGCAGCTCGTGACTATACCAATTACACTGACTGCAATCACCTGTAGGTCCAATGTTGCGAAGTAAAGAACACTTCTTGATTTTGGATTGAGGTCGGAACCTGTCGAACTCACAGCACAATAAAAAGTTCCTAAGACCAAGTATGATCCTCAGCACTCGAGACATTAATGTGCCATACTTACAAGAGCATAAGATCGATCAGGTTGCTCGAAGACTCTTCTCCTGACCATATAAGGGTGGTCGTCGCTCATGACATCACACCAACTGAAATTGTACGGGCTCTGGGAGAAGTCGCTGGTCCATCCTGCGGGACAGATGCACCTGCGTCCCTTGATATCCTCAACTCCCCTCGTACAATTGAGGGGGAACTGATCATTTCTGGGAAAATGAAATCGCACGGATCCCGTATCTATGCAACCCTGCAAACCTCCGCCTTTGAGCACTTCTTATCCATATCCTTCTCACATAACGACTGGCTTGGTCATATACCTATAGTGCGAACTGTATCTCCCTGGATTTGGCTTCACATTCATTCTCTGTGAAACAAGTAGATGTGATCATAGTAGTCTACTGCAAGTGAAAGCTTGTGCACTGTCCCCACAAAATCATCTGTCGTCCGTCCTCGCTACCATTCCAAATTAAACGCTCTATGCCTTGCTTAAAGTCGGTTAGTTCAGGCCACTGTATCGTAGTTATGTCACATAAAAGCGCAATAGCAGGTGGTGCACGGCCAGAATAGACAATACTGGTCTTCATTTCAGTCTGGCTGTGAATTTGGAAGTTCACCAAGTGTCTAAAAAGAGAAAAATATCTTGCATGCTGCAACGAATCGAGCTCGATTCGTTGTGCTGTGTCGCAAAGGACTAGTACATGTTAGATATCGTTTTAGTTTGCCATTCTACTGCGTGTAGAGCACACTGTTGAGCTTCTGCGCTCTCCTACTGACCACCCACGGAGTGTCACACTAATCAATCGTACGTTGTGTGTAGAAAGTATGATCACAAGATTCCCATGACGGGTCGATTATTGTGGCAGTTTGCACGAATTGAATCGTCTTGCTCTAACTGCATTGCATTCCGGTGCTCCCATCAACAATTTCTTTCACGACTTTGAGTGAAACTTCATGACTTTATTTTCTGTGTTTTCATGACGTCTAGGTTTTCGTCTTCCGTGTTCTTAAAATCGCTGCTCGAGACACATAAATTGAAGAGTGATGCCTCTTGCACATGTGAATGAGAACATGACTCAAAGCTATCACTCACGTGGAGTAGGTTTGGGAGACCTTAGGCTCAAACTGACCTCTTCAGGATCACAAGGTTCACAAAGTCGCGAGGTTGAGTTCCATATTGGTTTATCCTTATACTTGGTAGGACAATCAGCAGCTTTCGCACAGACCGTGTAATGTTTGATGATCTGCAAGACGTACAACACGTGACAATAGGAACGGGGTTCACAGAGAGTTATCTGATACTGTTTCCCTGAATCGCTTTCTTTTTTTCAAGAACTCTGGTGCATTGAATACTTCTGTTATGTGGCAGCGATCCTACTGAGCTTCTTCATCGTGAACTGTACATTGGAACAGACACAAAGAAAGTTGATGTTCCTAGGAGACAGTGGAATTCAATATCCTTGACTCCAAATACATCTTCGACATTGCTTGAGGAGTACAATGCATGAAGCACTTCCTCTGAGACCGACGCTGTGGGGGCACGTTCCATTCAGTGAACACGTTGGGTGTGTACGATGAAAAGGTGGAGGAGAGAGTTCTTTACAAGAGCAGGAGACAACTCAGATTGCACGAATGGGTCACGATGAAGCTAAGTTCACTAGTAATGACCCGAAGGTGCAAGTCTACTATAACGGAGGAACAAGTTCTGACGCTGGCGAAATCTCCAGAAACCACGCAGAGAAGTCAGATCAGATCTACAGATCTAAAGTTGTAGTCTGGAGAATCAAGTCTGACAACCTTTGCCTGCCTCGTGCTCTAGCGACGCGAATGTGACAAATCCTTCTAATTTAACAAAGACATCAGACATCAACAAACAGCTGCCAGTAGCCTTGAGGGAAACCAGAGCCTGGCGAAATGTCTTTGCAACCAGACTATAGCCACGGTAGGACTTCACGATGCAAGTATACCTAGCCGTGAGTTAGATCCAGAAACGTGGTAAGAGCTATGCACATACCAAGCAGGATCCAATCTCATGGGGTCAGGAATAAAACCGTGACTGCCTTCAGGTCTAATGATGTTTGTCATTCTGCCTGAGTGAGTCCTATACGAGATTCAGATCAGGAGCAACTTTTCAATAGGTGTTGCTCCTCGCACAAATTCAAAACGTAAGGGTCAGCTTCGAGTTCGTGAAGTTTCATACATGAAGGGCCTCAAACAAGCTTGTGCTTGACATGATCTGTTCAGCGAGGAGACGTTTACCTTAAGTTCCTCATCCACACTACAATCCACGCATAACAATTTGCTCCCTCCTTTGCCATCCGGCCTTCGAACACAGTACCCTGGATTCGGAGGTGAACCTGTTTGTTAGATACAGATAGAGGACATCGCTAAACAATTTGACTAACGTCCAGATTGGAGACGCGAGATGCATCAGAAAGGACTTATCGACATGCAGACAAGAAAAGACACTTTTGAGTGCTGTGACATCAAAAGTTTATGAAAATCATTGAGGGCTGCAATTGCCAAACTCAGGCCCACTAGTAATTGTGATAAGTACACTCGCAGTGTACTGGCCAACATCAGATTCTCCTTGGCCGCTAGCCGCACGAGCTCGTGTACAAGCTTGCACACTTTTCCACCATTCAAAGCAGTAAAAGCAAGCAGTCCTCTCTGTTCCTTGCGTTTTCGCGATGTCTCAAAACTATTGTGACTCGGACATACAACAGGATGAAGGTCACTGGGGCCTGACAAAAGCTTGCAAACGCTTTCTTCGACCGCTTCTAGGCTATAAACGATCGGAAAGAGCACATACTGGGACCTGTCCCTTGCCCCACTATACTCACTGGCTGACATCACAGGATGCACGTCGAGCAACATAGCTCAGAAGAACAACTCCACCTACATTTTCCATTAGTCAAAACCGAGAGAGAGCGAAGTGAAAACGGAGAGTTGCTAGAAAGTCCTGTCCGTGGCAAATGCGCGTGAACACTACATACCAATGCCGCTGCTGCGGCCAAAATGATGTTACCGAAATTATGCAGATTTCTAGAACTGTGTGTATACCCTAAGCATTAGCTTCGGTTGTCTGCTGTGATCGAATGCATCGCTCTGCATCGAAAAGCGATTTGTACTCGACAAGGGCTTCATTACTACAGGAAACATCTTCAAACATTGGAACACCTTTGACGTGGGAACCAATTTCTACGTATTGACATTCCACAGATCCTGATCTGATCTGATCGGCACCGGACCAGACCCCTCTTTGCCTCTATGTCTATTTTCTCATGCATCGACCTGGTAACGCTACTCTGCAGATCGACGACAGGGTCAGGGAAGGCCGTTACGCGACTTGGGAGACATGGGAATGAAGACAATCCACGTCCGTGCGCTCAGAAGTTGGAGGGGAATTCAGTGTCCTGGAATGCAATGGACGCAAGTTTCAATGAGTGGAAACTGAAATGAACTGTGAGATCAGGAGGCTTCAAGGAACGGCAAGGGGGCTCCATTGTTCTAACCCTCGTATCAGCATCCGTTGCATTGCAGGCACGACTTTGAAAGCCAAATGGGATGTACAAAATCGTAAATGTAAAAGCAAAGTTCAAACATGAAAGTATTTTCATGTTTCGAATGCGACAATCATCATGTATTATGAAATTGAGTTTTAAACAAACTAGTATATATGTGGATGATGCTTGAATTTAACCATACAAATTACAGAATTTCAGTTTTTAACACATTTGTATAATCACTCGTTCATGATGATAAAACAATGTTTAATCAAAGTAACCCTAACACTTCAACTTTATTTCTACATTCAGTGATTAGATAAACCATAAAGTTTTAAAATTTATTCTGCAGCTGTAAGAACACAAATAAAATTCTTGTGTCTGGGTTTATTATTATAAAATATGTAATTCAATAACGTTCATTGTTGTAAATAAACTAAACCCGATAAGAACACTAAAGTGTTAAAACTTGATTTTCCTGCAAATTCACAATTTTAACCTTATCTAATTTTCATATATCCTAAAGGTAATGGAATAAAATAAAATAAATTAAAATTCAATAGAAAAGTAGCCCAACTAATCAAAAAAAATTCTATAAAGTAATTATATACATATATATCCCTGGAATATAAAAAATTTACGTTTTCCATAAAATTAAAATATTCATTACAAATACATGTATAATATTGATACATGCAGTTTGAATTGTTTCAATAAACAAAGTAATCATTAGACATTTTACTGAATTACTAAACACACATCAGAGATATATTTTTCCTAAAGAAATTCGAAATTGAAATAATATATTGATTGGAATATGAACTACGAAATAAAATTTGATTAAATTGCATTTCATGACTTTCTAAAATAAAATTTTGCACTTTTAAGCCATAAAAGAAAATTCATCTATAAATTTTCACATGCAAAACTTAAATTCCAAAGATTATAAGATTATTGTAATTTTGGAAAAATGAAGAAAATGATTATGTTGTAACCATTATTTCAGATCCATTTTCAAATCATTATGAATTATTAACTGGTTATTTGAATATGAAACATGTTCAAATAAACATGTTCTATTAAACAATACACTTTTATATTGAAAATATAAGTGACAATTTTTTCGCTTAGAAAATAAAATTCCAATATCATTCAAATTTAGTATTGATTTGATTGATTTGTTTTATGAACTACGCTCATTCATTCACACACAATCTACGCAAATGTGAGCAGCATTTGATCGATTATCTGGCCTCTTAGAACGAGCTTTGACTCACACACAACCCAAAGGCAAGACAAATCCATGGATAGTGAAATTGTCAATCACTGCTCTCGCCTTGCCTAGCACTCATTCCATCTCGTCTCAGATCCGACTCAATTTTTGAATACTAAATTTTCTCTAGCCGCTGCGCAAAATCAACCACGATTGTTTGCAAATTCAGAGTTAAACAAGGTAGCAACCAACAACCACTAAAACAATAAAACTGTAGCTCCCGCTGCATTCTTCTTCTTCACAAGTAGTATAAACGAGCCAAAACAACAAACTTCACTGTATGCTATGTGCAGCGTACTTATTTGTCAAAGTTATGGGCAGATTTTTATGATATCACCACTTTTTTTAGTATGTCGGAACAAATTGTTTCTTGACTTGTTAATGAACCAGTGCATGAAAATTCAAAAACTCAAAGACCAGTTCATTATGGCTTCAAATGAAACTTCGCCGTGCATTTAATTGAAGCTGAAGGCAATGTTATTCTTGCAGGAGGGGATTGAGATAGCCAATAGATCAGAGTTCTGATCCTTACAAACAATTGTGCAGTTCTTGCCCTAGCAGTAAATAAGAAGAGTCATTTATAACTCAACTCTATTTAAAAGATGGTGTGTGGAGTTATCACTATGAAACCCGGATGATAACATCTCATTACAAAACAAGCAAGATTGCAAGCAGGACTCCAAGGCTTGTAAAATAAACAACTCTCTAGTTGAGGAGCACCACTAAAAATTGACAGAGAGAAATATGTTCCTCTCGAAGCATTACATTGTAGGAGGATTTCATCAATTTTTCTCTAATCTTTTCATCTGCCCAAACATATATAACGTTCTTGTTTAAAAAACAAGAACGTTAGTTTTGAAAGAATTGGCTATCTGATTCATTTTTGTTCTCATGATTTCAGCATGGTGCAAATAACCAATATTAATTTTTTTGTTGCTTTTCAACAACAAACTTAAAATTTTCCCTATTGATATCACAATGTAGCAATGCAAGTGGATGATGTACAATGCTTTATCTACGGCACTGTTCATTTCTTAAGATATTCTTACACAAAATTTTTGGTTCCTAATCATAATAGTTTATGGCCATTTCGAACTACTAAAATCTACCGCCTTTGTAAAGCTTCTAATAAATAACCAATAGAATTACTGATCTAGCAATATAAGACTTCAAAAATTTTCTTGCAAGGTAATCTAAAGATTGTTTGAAAATGTTGTGAAACTACACGATGAGTTGAGCATACTTCTGCTAAATAAGCTGATTTAAACATAGATGTGACTAAAACCTGCTGGTTCAATAGATTGAATTTTCATTTAGATTGTGACTCTAGCTAACTTAATCAACAAGAAAATAGCCTCAATTCAAATATCAGCCACAATTAGAACTAAAAACTCTTATATTCATGTATTCATATGTGATACGTCATTCTCATTTCTTCAAAAAAATTACATACTACAAACTCACACATGTCTCGTAGTTGCACAAACATTGCCAACAATAAATTTTTTCCTAATCACTACAAGAGTGAATAATCATGCAAAATTTCATCAAATTATTCATATTAACATACATACCAGTCCACAGATGATACGTTGATATCGTAATCACATAATTTGTTGATATTTAAGACAATTATCACAATTTTACTTAACGGCTTCTCAATTTACGCATGAATGAATTATATTTGGTCTCAGTAGAATCTAGAGAAGATATTCTTTTGCCATACATTAGCTCATTTTCATCTTGAGCGTCAACTTATATATATATATAACCACCATAGTATATAACCACCATATGCTATATAAAAATAGCAAAGACAGTCATGAGGTTTTGATCTCGCTAATTTTACTTAGATTTATCTAAAAGAATAGTCCATATGTATTGAACTTTGGGCCTATGATCAATGGCACATCAGACTTGTACAAATCTTGCAGATGCTCTTCTATCCGCGTACTTTTCTTGTAATTTGTGTCTCCACGTCGACACAAAGTGCTCCTCAAATTTGCATATGCCTCTTTTTTCTTGATCTCATGAACCTCATCTACCGGTCCGATCATGACCGTATGATTCCGAGCTGAAGTCGTATTGACAACTCGAAGGATTTAGGCTTCAACCCTAAATCCAACCTCATGTTTCAAACTTTTTTTTGAAAACTACGTAACTATGGAGCTTTGGACTTCTTCAACTTCTGTATCACAACTCAAAATCCTAGTCAATGAGGTGAAAAAAGTTGTGGAGAACAATGATGTGGGACGACTTCCAAAATCTTTTAAAGAAACTATGAACTTCTCACCTGAACACTTGGTCATAAGGGGGTCACTTCATCGCATCCGTCTTCAAGCGCCATGATGCATGTGCACTCAACACACTTGTGTTCAAGCCGAGATAAACTTTGATGGACAAGTATGATGAAGGTAGCAAGCTCATCTATGATCTCGTTGATTCGCATGCTATTTGACCTCAAATAAGGTTAAAAACTTGAAGAGATAAGTTAGATTCTATCAAACATGCAAATCTCAATATCTTCAATCTTACAAGATTGATCATTTTTCATAAGACCCAAACCGTTTGATATTTAAAAAAAGTATAAATGAACTCTTTAACGTAACATATGTGATTAGAATAAGCATTATTTTAAATCCATACATCAACAATGGTTGTAGATGATTGCATATGATATAAAACTGGCAGCATAATCCATCTTCTATCAAATCATACTCCTTATCATCAAAGTTTTGAGCCACATTACTTAAAGTAGGATTATCACCTATGATCTTCACAAGACAGTCCCTTTTGACGTGACCACTGTTATCATATTTCCTACACACCCCTATTTTTTTCTCTAAAGATTTATCCCTAGACTTGAATCTATTTTTGAATCTATCATTGAATTCAAAACGTTTATTATCTTTATCATTATGTGAATATAACCGACTTCAAGTCACATTCAATATTGTACCAAAAGGAAAGCATTGGGTACATAACAACATCATCTTTTGCTGCAAGTCATCTATCAACATAACACTTACAATTTACTTATAGTTGATTGTTTGTCAATCACAATGAATCACAACACGTGATAATGATAGATAAGATGAAAGTAATGAATTCAAAACATTAAAAGATTTTCTGTCAATAATAATATACTTTCTAAGATTATGTAGATCAATCACATATCATTAAATGCATCAATGTGATCTTATATCTTTGTGCCAAAATCTTTAATTTTAAAGCTCTAGAGCTTCTAGATGATATTAAAATTATTTGATAGCTTTTTGCAATAAAAACGCTCCTCAAAAACCTCAAACAATAAAGTACATTTGCCATATTCATCTCCTTGATTATGTTGTGGCTTGCTTTTTCTTATTTCTTCTTGTATTAGGGAGAAAAGGAGCCATTCACTACGTACAGTTCAGGATTGCACTTAGAGACCGAACAAGAAGAAGTAGAACTTGACTATGAAGGCCGTGTATACACCTATGCTTTAGTGAAGTTTGTACTCTTGCCTCTGGACGCAGCCTGTGGAAGCTAGCCACGTTATGTTGGTGTTATGACTGCTGTGCGTGATGATCAATCTGTATGGTGAACCTTTCAATTGGTATTAGTGCTCGTTCAATGCATGCAGATTTTTGATTTTCACCATGATGAAGACTATGGAGGCACAAAAGTGTTAACAAACATTTCTATTCGCAATTTGAAGTAATAGCTAGTTGATTCTCTGTAGAGAAGTATCAAGATGCTTTAATTACACTTTGTTGAAA